TGAGGAGCATGGATGGCTGAAGAAGACTGAGGCTGTTGGGGAGCAGAAAAACAATGAAGTTACGGGGCGATGGAGAAGAATGTAGTGTTTATGGTTTCATTCTGCACGCTTGGCAAGTGGGTTATCTTTGAGACATGAAGATTCCCTATAGCATTCCTGGTCCAGCATGCTCTTGTTAAGCAAACAATGCTGGCAACGCATGGACCACAGTCAGAGAGAGACACCAAGGAAGAAAAAGGGAGAGTTTTCAGAGAGCAGCAGTACAGTGTGAATCTCCAGGGCAGAAACCTGTTGATTCAACAGTCTTGAAAGGCAGACCACATTATGCACACACCTGATAGAACCATATTCAAAGCACACCTGAGCACACTTTCTCTCTGACGTGGGTAACCATGAAGCTCTCGTTTTTTTCTGTTCCTCTAGGCCTGACTCTCTTGATATTCACATAGTCATGCTTACGTGAGAGGGACAGACAAAAAGCAGAGGTAATTAGGGACGCTTTGAGTGTGACTTTATGACTGCAAGGGGCTTTGAGCTTTTCCCCTCCCTCCCCCTCTTTCACTTTGTTCTTTCCCCCATTTTCCCAGAGTCCTGCAAACTCTGAGGGATACATATCCTGCCCTTATGTGTCATGTCTACTCGGGAGACTCAGGAGGCGTAGATAAAATGCAAACATCCTTCAGACTCGCAGACTTACACACGCAATATATTCGCTCCCACTATTAGGTCCATAAACACGTTTCCACTCCACCCTGTGTGATTAAATGAGACGTGTAGGGATGGATTCCGGATATCCTCCCTAATTTGAGCATGAGCTCATGGTGCAGTGCAATGTCATCCTGTGTCCAAGCATCAGCCTCTAGAGCAATAACCCTGTCGGTCAAAACATCTGCACAGGAAAAAAAAACATGCAGACATGAAGTAAGAGAACAAAAATATAATGATGTGAGAGAGGACAGGCTAACAAGATCACAAGCAAACGTGAGAGGACTTCCAGACAAAATGCAGAGAGATCGCGATACAGATAGAGGGGGTTTTATTCTGACGAAAGAGTGAAGATAGGCAACCACAGCCAAGTGATTCATCATTCCCACTCGCACACACTTATAGACATGCAGACACACACACACATGCCGACACAAACACACATAAATCACCACTATTTAATCAATAAGACAGTTGCCTTTACCGAGGGTGTGTTGTGTAAGCCACCCAGGATGATCTTGACAGTAAAAGTGAAGACAGCAAAGGAATTTTCATCTGGAGTGGCTTATAAACAATAAGGCTTTAGGCTAGATATTCTCATCCATCTGTCTGCGCCTAGAGGTTGGAATGAGAGACAGTGGTGTAAAGAGCAACCGATATGAAGAATACTGTCTACTGACACCACAAAGGCAATCAGGGTCAGAGAGACAATTACAGTTGATTGAACTCGGGACACCTGAGGAAGCACGAACACACCAACAAACCATAAAGTCAGTGTTTATTTTCTTTCATCACCAATTGTCATGTCTCCGAGTCATCTCATTCAACTACACTCATGAATGTGCCGTCTCCCAGGACAGCAGGGGTGTGGGGGGGGGGGGGGGGAGGGGTGTTCTGGAGAGTTCCTGGATGATGAGACAAGAATCTGCTAATTATGTCGCCTCAGTGAGGAAAGGCATCATCCTTGCCACAGACTCTATTCTCTCTCTCTCTCTCTCTCTTTCTCAAATGAAGTCCTTTTATTAACGGGCACGTCAAGTTTGAAATGAGATGCACTTCCATTTATGATAGAGAGCTATCTAGGCCAGCAGAAAGGCATTTCTCTGAAAAGAGTTTGTCAACTCTTGTGAGGACAAGTTGAATCCTTAGGTGGTCTTGGTGACTTGCACGGGTGGTAAATACTGTACATGCTCTCATGTCTTTGGTACAGATTTATGCACACACATACACAATGCACAAAATGGTTGAACACACACACACACGCACACACAGATGCCGTGGCCTTTAGCCGTGGGCTCATATCGGTGACACTAGTGATCAAAAGTGTCAGCATTTTCTTGACATCTGCTCCCCAGCAGTGTGAGTAGATACTATACCCAGATACTGACTCTCTTGCTCATCATTCCCACCTGTCATGCACACGCACTCACAAACAAATTGGATTGCCTGCACAACAACTTGCCAACAAGTGATTGCTGCATATTGGACTGAACGAGTTATTTATACGAGAGGTTGTTGGAACTAATTAAAAGTAAGGCTCTAGAGTCTAACCCAACAGATCTACTGATTAACGAGTAGTGGGGCAAACAGACATACAAAGATTCAAGTGGTTAATCCATCTGTTCAACTTTGTCTTAGCCAATCAGAACACCACAGAGAGGTGTCCAGTCAGTAAGATTATTCCAGATCTGATTGGCTACAACAGGCTGACAGGCAAAATCCCTTGATGGCAGCTTTAAACTGGAGCAGCTTAGACTGGGCTCTGGGGCTGACACCTATCCTATCCACCACCAGGCCCAAACACTCATTACCTCGGTCTGTTTGTGTGTTAAGAGTGAGAGAGGGTTATCTTTTTGTACGTTTTGGGAAAGTTCAATGGTAGGAGGAAAGATAGAGGAAAGGATATACTACGGGGAAAGGAGGTTGTTATGTAAAAATATGTAACATGCCTGCATGGTTTTAGGGTGTGGCAGTATTAGGGTGAAAGTGGAAGGCAATATCTGGAGAATCCCAAAGATTATTGGTTCAGTTTCACTTTAAAGCACATGAACCTGATCCTTCATATTTATACAGTATCGGTAACATTAGTGGACAAACTCTCATTGCATTAATAAATGTGGTCTGTGTTTATGGGGTCATACTCATGACATGACAACTCCCACACAAGACAAAGCACAGTAGGGCCTTTAGAGCTGTCAAAACAAATGCAGGCCAACGCAAACACACACACGCAGACACACTCCTTACACACACACAGCATCTCCTTTCTAACGGGCTTGTCCTTTTGGCCAAACTTTAACAATCAGCAGGAGTGATTTTGAGTTAAAACAATAAAAGCTACAACGGATAAAGAGCATACACACAAAGGAATTGCCTTTATAAGATTTGCAGTATGAGTTGAAAGACAGAGGGAGGGAAAGCAGTAGAGAAAACAGTGGCCACATCATGAAAGTATTATCCAATAAACAGATTAACAGCAGAAGAGTTTTTAGCCTGCACACTAGTGGCTCAGTGGTGAACTGCAAGATGCCGTCGGAAATATATTGTACAAACAAAAAGGGGTAGGAGAAGAAAGCTACCCACAAACAATTTTCCACCAATGTCCCAGTGTGTGAATAACTGTACCAGGGTATCAGCCAAATTCATTTTCTCATTACTTCATGCAGTATATGAGACACTTGCTACTTCACATTCCACTTGAGGCACTCAGACAGCACAGAGACTGTCCTTAGAAGGCCTTGTACATTGAGGGCTAGTGACATCATCATTTTTCAGCACCACCATACTCCAGTTTCTATTGTTATTCCATTGTTATTTTCCATCTTGGCCTTTTCTGGATATGTGGAACACCTGATGTTCATTCTCCTGACAGGCTCAGACATGAGGTAATAAGGGAAAGATCTTAATGATGATGGAAAAGACAAATACCAGAAACACTTCTCGAACATGGTTACTTAAACTGCGTGTAAAACATCTGTAAGAAGGCTCATTTCCATTCTGTGAAAACGTATAGAGTCATTTGTATGTGGAAATTCATATCTTGGTGGTGCTTTGCTACGTTAAACACTGTATTCACGAGTTAAACATGACAGTAATCATTTCCATGACAACACTACAAATAATACACTCTCCAGGTCTATTCCCTCAACAGTTTTATTCTCAATTACACCTTTTTTTAAACATGGGATAAGAATTGGACACATCCCCATCCATCATAAAACACAACTTTGCCAACATGGCTTCTAACCAATCCATTGTCTTATAAAACTAATTGTATGGTACCAAAATTCCTGTAGGACTAAAAACATCCAAAGCACGTCTCCCGCCCTCTGTGGGATTGTGTTCGGAGGTTTTGTGGAGGAAAAACTTGGTCTATTTCGGAAATTTTCAAATTTAAATGACACGGCAATCAGTAGAGGAAGAGGAAAGACAAGCTTGGGCAAATAGTGCATTGCTTGATTCAGTTGGGCGTAGCACAAAACCCTTTGGCAGGCGAGACCTAGCTCAAACAGGCTTTGTATCTACAGCAGGGTCTGTTTATTCGGAACTCAGACATCTGAACTGACCAGGCTACCAAAGAGGCAGCGCAAGGAAAAAGAATCACCACAAATAAACACTTAACAAACAAACAAAAATAATGACTGTGCACAGATTGTTTTACTTCCCAAAACTACTGTCATCTGTTTAAGGATTCAGGTAATTGTGTTGCTGTCCTGACAGCGGGGTCACATAATGACAAAGCAGATCAACTCACAACAAACACTGGAGGCCCGGAAAAAGGCCTCTATACCCTATTTTTCCCCCCCATTTACCCTCAGTGATCACTCTCTGTAGTTCTGTTGCTGCCAAACCCACAGTAGAAAGGGGAGGGGAGGGGAGGGGAGGGGGAGTGAAGCCATGCCCATTTCCTGAGTTGCACACTTGCCAGCTACATTGACCCTAGGGAACTGAATGCAAAACTTTTTTCACAAAATATTGGACAAATAAATATTCGTTGGAAGCAAGAAAACAAACATAGGTATTTTGTTTTTATTGCTGAATTTTGGATCTGAATAAGGGTCACAAGTTCAGTGGCAGGTCAGCATGAAGCTGGGTCAAGTTTTAAATTAAATACTTTGCAGAAGCAAGCATGTTATACTCTAAGTCCCAAATACTGGCAGGTACAACATGTACCAGATAGCGAAATGACCTCACCAAACACGCATCATTTCTTTCCCATCCATCAACAACAACAACTCAGTGTCTCAGGCCAATCGTAACAAACCCCAGTCTGGCCCCTTTGTCCGACCACTTACCCTGGAAGGCATCCGAGTGGCCGGAGATGAGGTGCTCGAGCTCATAGCTGTAGGACTGAATGTTTTGGAGGGTTTCCCTTTTTACAGCCAACTGGTAGCTCTCCTCCATCTTCCGGGTGCAGCAAGACGGACCCTGGTGCTTACAAATCATCAGATCCACATCTAGGGAAGACAAGCAGAAGGATATATGTCACATTTCTTTAATAGTTTGATATCAGCATTCATCTAAGTCACTAACAATGTATCACAGAACATTTGGATTATACATTTTGGATTAGATACGATAACGTCTCTTATGTAGAGACATAGATTTATGATTCTTCACTGCTGTGCAAATATGTGTGAGTATATGTATAGTGTCCTGAGTATGCACATAGATAGACGGCCCATAACTCCATAACTCCATTGGGAGACAGAGGAGGCACCGTGGGAGGGTGAGAAAGTAGACCAAGAATTCATCCGCGTTTGCTGCTAAAAATACTGTCCCTGCTAAATATATAAATACCTTTGGCTCATACAATTGCACACATGTCATCAAGATATACATGTGCACATGTATGTATACTGAAAGTCCCATAAAAACACATGCATGCACTTGCATTTTGCGATATGAACATGCTGAATAACTGTGCACATGCACAAACACACGCACGTGCCGTAAATTGTGTGAGATCACCTTTAGAGTAAGACAGTTATTAGCTATAATACTGCAGCTAAGAACAACCACATGAAGGCAATGACCTAACTGCAGATAATATGATCCAAAGAACAGATCATTCAGGCACAATTACATCAGCTGTGCACCCTGCCAGTGTCACCTTCTTCTCACCCTCGCTACAAATATAAACACTGTAATGACATCACTGAGACCACTCACAATTAGCATGGGCTATTAAGATGGTCCTTTCCCACACATTTCCTCGCACACGGACATTTCCATAATGCAGAAGTCTGATATGATAACTCATTTTACAGGGGTCGGGCTGGACGGGGGTGGCTGAAGGCAGGTGTTGTAACCAGACCCTAAAGCATGGCCTTAGGACAGACCGCAAGACCAGTGCCTCACTGTCCAAATCCCTCCATGAAACACAATAGGGTTGCATTCTCAATCCCTCTTTCCCTTTCTGCTCCCTCTCTCCCATTTGCCTGGCATATCCCAGTGAGGCCTGGGTGTCTCTTAATTACCCAGCGAGGCTCCATTTGTTCCCACCCCAGAGCCAGGCGAGTGAAGTCATCACTGGCTGTCCTGCCCCTTACAGCTCATTATCTCCAATGCTGTAGCAGTGCACTCCCTGCTAATACCGTTATGGCTGTATTGAGGGATTACCTTGACCATCAGTGTATAAAGATGGCATATAACCACATTTAAGAGGGTACAATGTGAAGCAGTTGTTTTGAGTTTACATCTGGTACTTCTCAATGTACCTGCTATCAGGCTTAATAATGCTCTACACAAAAAAAGAAACCCAATCATTTTCAAAATGTGTTTAAACACAAAATAACACATTTTTAAATACATCTAGTATGTCATATGACAGTGTTGTTTTCACTCGTCCTTTATTTTTATGCTGACGTCTTGTAAAATAAGTTCTGAATTCAATTGGAAAATCTAAAAATATGAAGAAATTCCAAAAATATATGGATATGTCAGTTTTAAATCGATGGGTTTGACCTATGTTTCAAAGACAAAAGTGCATTCTGGTGAGTCTACTTCATTCTGGGGTTGAATGTCATCTCAGTTTGACCGTTTGATTTAATAATCCCTGTTTATTAAAATGATCTTATTTAATATGACCTCACCAATCAAGAGCAGCAACTCATGAAAACATTTGCACTACGTTTTTGGGGGTATGTTCGGCTGTGCAGTACAGATTTGGTGGAATAAATGTGTCTGTTAAAATGACATGCAACAACAAACCCTAAAGGCCTTCGTCATCCAACATTTCATACTGATGTCTAAAAATAGGACATGTTTGTCAATCACTCCATAATTATCGGCGGAACCGTATCATTTTTAAATAAGGTGATTAATGACACACACTTAACGATAACAAGCTTGAGCTGTTTTTCTCTGGATAGCGATTAGGTCTTAATGTGAAACTCTTAATGTAAATATAAAATAATGCATTAACTCAGACTTAGAGAGACACATGGGAAACATTAGGTAACTGTGTCACATATTATTTGCCTGTTGAAAGCATGATATATTGTTTTAATTCTGTTTAAGGATGTCATATCTCCATATTTGGCGTGTGTCCTCTCTCCTCCTCTGTCCATGACCCTGTTTTCCTCACTGGCTGGCTCTTTCTCTCCTTTGTGTTTGTGTGTTATCTGTGATATGAAACTAATATCCAGGGACTCAAAGTGGAATCCAGCCTGGCCTCCCCGTCCCTTGCGAGTAGCTCATGGAGTAAGTGATACTCAGAAAGACTTTGGCTGTTAAAGCCACCACAGCAGTCAGGGCAAGCTGACTGTGTCACGAATATACCATGCCACTTTCTGGAATCTTTAGAAGCCATGTCACATTTTGTATGAACATATTGCTAAGTTGGCTATTTAGATATAATATTGTACCTACAGTATACAGTGACAGTGTTTTAGTGGCTTCTTCCTGAAGGGTAAAATATGTTTTGAGGACTCACAGGCCTCAACGTATTGAGGGTAACAGTCATTCGAGGACTCCAAGCGTCATTAAGGTCTACAATGTAGAACATACAGTATCTATTAATATCTGACTGCGGTGTGTTTGAGTAACACATGAATTATTTGAAACCAAACTATTATTTTACATTTTCCTACAGGCTGCAACCCTATAAAAAAGTTGTTATTGTTTAATAACAAAGCATTTGGTTTGGCTTAATGGGTATTTGATGTCAATAAAAAATGTGCATCTATAAAAGTAAAATATTTACACAGATTCTTTCAGCCAAACTGAGGTAGGCACCTTTGGCAACAGCAAAGGTTTTGAACATCTGGACAATTTTTCCCCATTATTTTTACAAAACTACTCAAGCTCTGTCAAATTGCTCAGGGACCATGAATCATCAACAATTTTCAAGTCCTGCTTCAAATGTTTGATTTTCTAGATGGGAATGGTCTCTGACTTGACTTAGGCTGAGATCAGCATGACTGAATTTAAGACATTCCTGCATACATTTGGCTTTATGTGTGGATTTGTTCATTTAAAAGTCAAAATGACATTTGAGTTGCCTTCAACTTTCCTTTCTCTTTGCCGCTTTGCCATTAAAGTTATTGTATGCACTGTTCATGTACTTCACAGAGGCGTCATGGTGGCCTCAATCATTAATGCAATACTCTCACAGATAACTTCTTTGGCAGTTAGTTCAACCTTTAAATACCATGTAAATGTTGTTTTATGCATCACATAACTGGTATTTTCAACAACCTTGTTAATGTCCATGCTGACATTTTTGCCGAAAAAGTAATATTACATTCGTGGACTGTCCAGATACTGGTACATTTTACAGACACCACACCTTGATTACTCATCATCGGTAATGTCTATTCAACCATTACGCCCTTCTAATGGCGGCCAGCTATGTCAATGATGATAAAGATGTGGGAATACTGTAAATATCTATACTGTTATACTGTTAATAACTTTTACTTAAGCAATAACAGATTAAATGCACTAACAGGGATATACCTGTACAAAGTATGAGGGAGGACACTTTTGTATCACCACTTTCCGCAGAATTTGTTTATTATTTTGCAAATTTCAAAGTTTCTCACTCGCCGATGTTAATTTATCTACAAGGCGTAGCTATTTATCTGATTTCACATATCAACTCTTGGCTTTAATGTGACATTGTATTGACTTGAATAGGCCAAAAGGACTGAATTATACTGGTCCTTTGTACTTAGTGGCTAATGTGAACACTTGTAATTCTGACTGGCTAAACCTTAACACACTTTGCTCTCCAGACTGGATGTCAACTCTGAATCTTAATTCCCTTAATCGTCCTCAGGTGACAAATACCTCGAGAGTAATTTGCCGTATTAAAGCCATGGCTCAGGGGTCTTGATTTGCCAGTCACAATCCCCTCAGCAACACCTCAGTGCCCTTCAGTGCACAAGTCAAAACTCCAGAGTGGAGAAACTCTACCACTGAATAATTGCCCTGCTAACTTGCATGCCATTCTCAAAATGTGGTACTACAGTAACAGAGCTGAGTACAGTATACAGCAGATAAGATGGTTAGTTATTACCAGACTTTTTAAAACACACATGCATAAACCTTTGCACCCAGAAAAGTATCTTTATACAGCTCACATCTCAATATGGTGTGGAAAAGTTGTTATGATTTGGAATGTGTTGATGACGGTGAGGGTTGTGGGTTGCTAATGCTGCCGTTTTGATGTTTTTCGGAGAACAAGAATAACTTTGTTAGAAAGTAGCCAATTAATGCAGTAACCCTTCTCCTGCCTCAGGAAGCCAGCTCCCTTTGAAGATCACAGATCCACTGAATATACAGGATATTTACTCTACACAGATCTGCTGTGTTTTGGATGGACCATGTTGAATGAAAACACGTCTCAAAAGGGTATATGCCGCATACCTGCACTTTTGGCCAACCTTGAAACTACTGGAATGTTTAGCTTTCGCAAACCCTGAGCTGGAAAGACCTAAAGTGCTTGGCACAGGTTCCAAAGTTGCTCCAGAGGGCAGAGGTTGGACAGCAAGAGTTTAGAAAGAGGCTGGTGGGCTGATGCAGACCTGTTAAAGCAGCATTATCAGAGGGGTGCTCAGCCACTAACTGGCAGAGTAATTATGTTAGCATTTAAAATAGTCTGTTAAACACTCCCTCTCAGAAACCAGCTCTCCTCTCATGCACTATTTCTGTCCCTAGAGCGCAGAAAGTCCATCTTGTCTAAACGGTTATATTATTGGAGATGAAGATGATATACTTGGCAGTGTACTAACATCATAAAATGACATGGGCTGCTAACACAGTAGCAAGCAAGGAGTGTAAGGACACACACAATCGACTCAAAAACTAGACTAAGGCTGAAATCCAATAAGAACTGTTGCATAGAGATCGACTCAGACAGTAATTAGCTTTATAATTGGACCACACTGGGAATGCTGGAGTGTTTGTAGGATAAAGAAAGAGCATCTAGGGTGCTGGTCAGTTCATTCATCTCTACCTTCTTTTTACGCGAAGACGTCTGGGTTTTATCTTTTATTTACCACTAATAGATTTGAATGGATTTAGTTTTTTGTAATGTTCTTGTGTGAATTTATATTACATTGAGTAGGTGATAGAGAGGACGGGGGAATAAAAGACATGCCTAATCATTTTAGGTGTGAACAGAGTACAGTATAGCTGTTCAACATGGGCATGCTCTCTCAGTGAGAAAGGCCAAGTTAAAAAGGGAATCAAATATAACTACAGCCAATCAAAGAACACCCCGAGCTTTGAGAGCTTGCCAAGTCTTTTAACAGTAATAAGTCGAACAAAGTCTTCTGTGTGTGGTATGTACACAATCAGATAAGCCCTGCTCAATCAGATAGTTTTAACTGAGCTTGAAAATTGGTTGATCATATCTGAGGACATTATCCAAGAAGCCAGCTGTAGAATTAGTGTGTCTGTGAGCAGCACTGCTAGCTGTCTGCTTTCAAAGTGATCTATCTCCAAAGGGCTAAATCAGCACCCTGTAGTAATTTCAATATGGAGCATTTGGCTGTGTACCGCAGTACCAAAGTGGTCATAACTCTTAAAAATAATCACAGGATAAGCAACTTCATGTCACTGATTATTCAAGTTCCTTTGAAGCTGAATCTGGCATGGAGATAAAGTCACTCTTTATAAAGTGTGGCCCAGAGAACACGTTTAATGCCTGGAGAGCAAATATTTTGGTCTGAAATAATTCAATACAAGGACATACCGTATTGGTCAAATACTCCCCAGTCATTATATGGCCATTCAATACAACAGTTTCAGCACACATATGTAACTAAGTATGTTTCTATAAATGTTGAGTGCCTCTAAAGGACTTAATATCCCTATTAGCAGTAAATAAATAACAGAAATAGTAGAACATCGAATAGGGTATACATCTACCTAAAACATTACATTAAGTTATTACAGAATTTCATATTTTTCTAAAGAATGTTAGTACTTCTGCAACCTCTGCTAGCCAACAGGAGACATTCATAAGGCATGATCACTACGTATTGTGGCCGTTTTTGAAAACAGAAATATTCATCTGTACCGTAAAAGTGTGATTCTTTTCATGTGGGATCATATCCAATTGGCCAACTCTTAAGTTCCCTGCTGCCACACTCCTGGCGCTTAGGGAGAAATCAGTTCGCCACACATGAATGAAACGCAGCACTGTATCCTAAAACAAACATCAGACTGTGAAAAGGGCTGAAGTTTTGCCACTTCGAATTTCAAGAGTTGCTTTTATTGGCATTTGATCTGAGAACTGAAACAGAGTAGCATAATTGTGTACACACACACATATACACCAATTCTCCCACTCAAACACCGGCTTCCATGGTTAGTGCTTTGAAGACAAGATTGCGCCTGACCCAAAACAACCTCTCTAGGTGAAATACAAATAAAAAGCAAAATAAGATAGAAGCCCAAAATGTTAAAGCAATGTTTGATTAGCTGTGAAGGGGCAGAGAGGTTTTGGAGAGTAAATGCAGTTCAAAACATCTTTTACACACAAATATTTATTTCAATTAATAGTCCAGACCAAAAAGCCGCAGTTTGTATCTGCATCATAGCAGCCCAGTTTTACAAAAATGTTATGGAGGGTGAGTCTCAGAAATAAAATATAGAGGTGGGGGGAAAAAATAATTTAAAAGTAATGACTGTTCCATAGACTTCAGACCATACTGCGTGTATGCTGCTATGCTCACAGGCAGGTAAAATGCTCATCAACAGCTGCTATACTTATATGTAGCTTCTGCCAATACACTGCAGACTGTAAGATATTGTCACGCAATCCTGTTTCTCTAGACGCCTGACATCCTAAGAAGACCAAGGTCCTTTCCAAAACTACTGCTTGCAATAAAGTTGACATCCTCTGTTGCTAGTAGTGACACCCTGCTAAACAAACATATCAAGTGGTTTGGATGCCCCTCTAGGTATGTTTACCACTCAGCTATCTATTGCTCTTCTCACTGTTACAGCTTGCATACTCAGACTGGGTGATACTCAAGCTGCCACAAACCTGCATGCAACACTATTGCGATAGTATTTCAGTATTTGCCAGGAAAAGTAGCCTACTGAAAGACACACTAAAATTAGGAAATGTATAGAAATGATGAAAGGCTTCAAAAGATAGTAAAAACATAATAATTTACACTGAATAGCCAAATGTTGTATATATATGTCAATACAGACGGCCCCACATAGAGGAAATATGACATAATCGGTTAAAAGTTTCTCACTATGCTTACAGAAAAACTGTTAAGCAAACTAAGCATAGTTGAACTAAAGCCTAAACCTGCTAAAAATGCATTTTGCCTCCAAAACAGATTTGGAGCTAATGTTTATTCTCATAAAAAAAATCTTTCCTCAGTGTGCAAGAGGAAAGCACATACCACAAAACCTTCAAGGCGTTTCAAGCTGCTTTCAAGCATCGCACTGGCAGAAATCTGACAAACTACAAATTAAATTGCACCAGTCCGCAGAGGTGCTGAACCTGAGGTGGTTCTTGAGCTCAAGGGCATGGACTCTTAACGGCCTATGCCACCCAAAGTATCTAAAGACCAGGGGGCATAAGAGTTGTTGGTGGCTTGTTCAAATCATTCACTCCTACTGTTGTGGAAACAATATTGTTGACTCTTTATCCACAGAGATTAAATCATGAGACATCAGCAACACACTACCCTGGTTCTAGATCAAAAACTCAGCAGGTATCAAAGAAACACAAATAATAACTGTTAGGTGGTGTAGCAATGTTTAAGTTGTGGCAAAACTCAAGAGGCTCTGATGCTTTAAACAGACACATCAGAGGTTGCTATACTGTATACTGAGTTGTTATATTACTGTAAGTATAATAACACATGTTGGATGTACAGAACAACGATGGACTGATATGATGCCTGGCAAAATGAAAAGGGATTGACAGACACACTTCACTTAACTTAGATTTAACCAAACAAATGATAACCAATCACTTTCATAAGACAGATATTGTTTGGTCCAACAGTTTTTAAGGTCTCCTGAACTGACATTAATAATATGACAAAAGTGAAGACAGATCTATCAATTCTGTATATTTGTCTTTCTATCTCTTGCTGCTGTTGCCACTTGACTGGGCTTACTTTTGCTGTTGGGAGATCACTCAGAGTAAGTGTGCTGACCCACGTGTGCTTTTGACAGACATACAGAATGGTTAGAAGCATTGGAAATAATCAAAGGCTTTTTCTTCTTTTTAAATTGTAGGCATTAAAAACTACATTTTTAACACATTTGCACTTGGTAGGTTGTTTGCTGACATCGAATATTATAGTAGTTTAAGTTAAATGCACGACTAATCTCTGCTGATCCATTAATAAACTGACTGCGGATCCATAACAAAATATGATGTTTGAACTAGACTTCAGCCAAAGTGCTCTTCGCCATGAGGTGCCTAACCCACTGGCTCACCTGTGCCAGGTGTCTCCGGGACGCGGTGCAGCGGCCCGACCTGCCGCAGCTGGAAAGCGGTCTTCACTTCATGACAGCTGTACGCGTCCACGTCGATCAAATGTGCCGCAAATATGACCGCTGACAAAATCCAAAAGGATCCGCAAGAGTTTACGCGTGGGCATATTCCTCGGGACATTGCCGCATCTCACACCAGGTATCCTTGTGGATCTGTAGCCTGGTTGAAAACTGTGTGACAGTGTTGAAAATAGACCGCACTCAAGTACAATGAAGCGACGATGAGTTTAAACATCTGACTAACGTTCCCGTCTGAGTTTCACATAATTGGTTGGGATGAGAGGTTCGGGTCTTCTCTTGGACAGAGGGAGAGCGGTGTGGGCTAAAGCCAGTGTGTCCCGCGCTCAACACTTTGCAGTGGTCGGCTGTCTGCATGCCTGTTTCCAAAGACTCGCGCACACTCCCCTCCCTTTCTGTTTACTTCAGCTAAGTGCCCCAACTAAAACTCACTACAATATCCTACAGGGACTTGCAGTGTCAGTAGCCTTATTAATTAACAACATTTTAAATCCCAACTTCTGAACAATTTCCCTTGGTGTTTTTAATTCAACAAAAACATGACTAACGTATTTTACACACTATTCGCATTATATTTGAACGTTTTGCTGCAACTGTTTGTGCCCCGTTAGAGTAACAGGGTTACAACTGAATATAAAACAGATCATTACACAAATGTTCCAAATCAAAACCTCACCCCATTTGTTGTAGTGGTTGTTTATTTCTGTAACAGAACCAAAGATCATTCCACTTTGAAACTAAGGGAGATACCCAAATTCACTGCTACAGGTGAGAAACAATTTCAGAACATGTCATACAATAACTTGCTATTTACTCACTAGGATAATAAGGAAATGCAGGCCGATATGTGATCTGTCCAAGACAGAAACATAAATAAGTATGGGGTGGAATTGGGTAAAACAGGATAAGATATTTCATTGGTTTTCAGAGTATAGTAATGGTTGAGTTGCATCTGATTCTCCCTGCAACATGGAGAATCCTGTGCTCACTGTTGCTGAAGCTGTGTAGCAATAGTTTATACAGTTATTTGATTCACATTGCTGCCATCTACTGGCTAAAATGTTTTAAGTTAAAATGATCAACAACAAAAAAAGATCAGCAGTGATAGTGATGTGTTTTTCAGATTCAGTGTTCAATAATTTAGTTTGACTTAAGATTCAAAATGTAGTCAATAAACCAGAGGAGGGGTATTGGAGGCCATGCACCTTGTAAGATTTCACCCCTGCATTATGAGCAGGGCCGTCCCTCCCTACAGGCCGATCATGCAGACTGCGTGGGGCCTCACCTTGCGGAGGGGGCCTCATCTTGCAGAGGGACCGGGAGGGTGCCTCAACTGAGCCGAAAATGCGGCGCACCTATGCGCTTATGCAGCGCAATTAGTGTGGCGTGGCACGGTTTCGCCGCTGCGAGGCTCCACTAGCAACTGTGCACTTCCTGCTATGACAAGTCAAACTGTTAAAATGATCTGTAGGCAGGAAACCCTTTGTGAACCTGGTTTTATTTATGGCTTGCTACATAAACAAAGCATTAAGCTGACATTAAGTTATTATCTAATGTGATGAGGGCGAGTTTATTGCCCGTCTTAGTTTTTTTGCAGGTCTGCTACAGTAGAGATTTCCATTCCTACTTATCCACTGGCAACTGCTTGTATAATGAACCACCCATCCAATGGCGTTCATGAAACACAAACAGCTGCTGCTGCCACAATATACTTTATTTAACTTTAACAACACAAATACTCTACTCTTCTTCCGTTGGCTAGGAAGCAAAAGCAGCCAGGAATAAATCAAGTGTAAGGTTACACAGTGACTCCACAACAATAAAGATTAGCTACCACAAAACAGCAAACAAGACATGAAGGTCACCAAGTTTGTTGTACACATAACATAGATAGAACATATGGTCTTTCTTTACAACTACATAGATCTTATACACAGTAGTAAAGACTGAAAAGCCATTAATTAGTTGTTGTGTCTGTAACAAACCTTTGCAAATGCAGTTTTCCTCAATGTCCTGTCTGAGTTTCTGTATGCTGATATAAGTCATTGCAGTAGAGGGTGCTCTTGAGTCAAATATAGTCCAAATGTTGTCCTTATCACTTGTGTGATACTGAATATACACAAGTGATTATATTACTGCAGAGGCATAACATAACATTGGGTGCCATGTGACAGAGATGTAGCCCCTGTAGAAGGATCCAAATATTTCAGTCAAGATGTAGCTATTGGAGGCACCAGTAGCACTTGTCCTCTTGTTTTATGTTGCATCATTTGAGAACAGCAGACTCAATGGCTCTTTAGCCAGTGTAATGCCAATGTTTTACTCAACAGCTTTTGTGCAAGTGGTAGACCTACAAAGGCATTTTATATGATTGTATACGATACTACTTTCAGGCTTAAAATACACTTACCTGAAGGAGGCCCTCTGCAAAAGCTAAAGCACATCACAGTGCTGAAGTTGTACAGCACAACATGCTCTCAGATGTTGCTCTCCCATTCCTGCAAGGCAAATATGTTCTTAATTAGTTCCAATGCCTCAACATGCCTTATACGAACAGTAAACAAATCAAGGAAATTAGAAAGATCCTGACAGTCTCGGCGGGACCAAAAGCTTGGGGTCATCATTAGAAGTGACAATTGAGTTTTAGAATTATCTGCCAAAATCATTCGAGATGCTATTTGCGTTTCATAGGAAAGTTCAACGGTTTCTTTAAGGAACTTATTTCCATAAGTTATTTCCATGAGTTAACTTATTACAGCGTAAGGTATCAACCAACACAAGGACAGGTTTAGCTTTTTTGCCTTAGAAAATTCAAACACATCTCAAAAAAGCATTATAAAACAGCAATCATATTATAACTCCCAATTCTGCTTTGTCTCTTGGTAAATGATCATCACACCAAACAGCATCAATTTGGAGACAGTGAGTCAGAAGGGCTGAAGCAAGCTAACTTAGTTAAAGGGATGTGAACTTGCCTGAAATCCAATACATTTACTGCATTTGCTGCCATTTTTAACAGCCATGCTGAGGATTGTTCCAGCAGGACTAGAGCCAGCTAATTCCAAGACTGTTTGTCAAAAATAATGCAAAGATAATGGTCGTTTTACAACATTTGTGAGAATACAAAATAAGGAAAAAAACAGTTGCATTCTGATGATACAGTAGGCTATAGAGTTTATGACAGAATGCGATTTTAGCTGGCTAAGAAATAAAATAAGTTTTGAACTTTGGGAACAATAAATTACAAATGATATGGCATAGAGTGGAAGACCCTTGTGTAGGTACAGCAATGCCATGTGTTTTGTTTATATTATGTCATTGTTGACGTTGTTGTATTAAGGTAAGTTAGCACAACACACAGACCAGTGTAGGCTATATAGTTGACCAAAGCTAGCATGGGCAAGAAGAGTAAATGACTCACAACAACGCTTTAAAAAAACATAACTAATATTTTTAAACTAGCCAGTGTATATACTTCAATGGAGATACTCGTTTAGCCTATCTGAGATTAACTGTTCGGAGCAAAGGTGAACGTTTAATTGACATCACGATGTATAAAAGAAAACCTTTTTTGGGTCAAAAAGGCCAGAATTCACCACCACTTGGGCCTACCATAGACTATATGAAGCCTTCCTTCCACGGTAACTTAGTAAGTGACTTTATTAACCAACGTTAGTCAGCTAACAAGCTAAATAAATTAACAAACGTTTTAGCTAGTGCCAGTTTGTTGTCACTCAGCTAACTAGCTAGCTGTTTGTGTTACAGTTAGCTAGCCACCCGCAGTTAGGGTTAGGCATGGGTTGGTTAGGGCAAGCTACTCTCATTTAATACAGTGATAGATAGGCCTACATGTCTTGAAAACGTACCTCAATGATCATCCGAAATGAAGGAAGGTGGGCACTGGGCGGAGGTACGTTTCATGCAAAGACCACACGGACGGACATGTCCAGTTAGAATAAATGCAGCCATTATTATACCCAATTATACCTGTGCTTTCCCTACTGTGACGACATCACAGTTTCTGCAGTGAAAAAAATCATTATTGGTTATAAAGTCATCATCAAAGTTATTACAGTAGGCTGTAATGTGTCTATAGCAAATATTAGTCTCACTTTGAAATCATAGAGCAACCGTTAAACCTACACCAATAGTAGGCCTATGTGTTTTAGGAAAGCTACACATTCCAGTAAAATATTTACTTTTTAGGATGTCCATTATTATGACAAAATCTTGTCAAATGTTCTTTCTTTTTTTTACTGTGATTCTATAATGACTTTAATCCTAATTTAGCCTACATACTCAATGAGCTTTCCAATGCTCCTGAAAAGTAATGTTTTGAATTTGAGGGAGTCTAATTGCATTCTATTATGTGTTTAACTTTAACATTTGATTTAAGACAGTGAGATCTATTTCTCCAGAAAGGTGTACAGGAGACACTCCTGATGCTGCTGCTCCTGGTAAAACCTTTTTATGCCATTTATGTTCCATGTGAGGAAAGACAAAAGTTATGTATTTGAATTTGGTCAGCAGATGGCGCCAATAACCCTTATTTCTTATAGCCATTCATTAATGCTCATGCAGGTTTGTTTTTCTGTAATAAGTACCTTTAACATAGGACAACTATTTTCTGTTATTTTAACATACCATCCGACTTAAATTAACTTTTTTTTCTACAGCCATTGTTAACCTTATTTTAAAGTACACATGTTTTGATAACAAATCTCATGTTTCCCTTGTTAGGAGTTGGCAGGAGTAGGTCAGTAGTCAGCCCTAGCATCCTTACAGTCATCACATAAACATGACATGTATTCACTGAGCAATCAATTTGTTATCCCTGAAGGAAAACATCAGTCAGTATTTACACAGACCCATAAAACTGTCTACAGTGTTCTCATGCTGAGATTCTTTTAACCATATGATGAGTTAACAAATATTACTGTGGTGATGCCAATTAAGCACATCCAATCCTTTGAATAGGACTTCAGTCGGATGAAGTGGCTGCAGTAATCATGGCAGGGGATCCTTCATTCTGTGTCCACATGCTGTGTCTGAGTCCAGTGGTTAGCAGACCATCTCTTGGGGCTTTAGCCCATCAGTTCTGGCCCTCTAAACTGGGTATTTAAGGGACTTACAGGGGGTTAAACCCCCAAGATTGCAGCCCTCACCCGCCTGTTTGAGAGATTATGTTCTTCAGTCTTCCATTTTCACCTCTCTGTCTTGTCGGAAACAGCAGGAAGTGTGGAGGCTAGACGTTAGAGACATGCCTCAGCTTGACATCTCTGGAGGGAGGAAGTTGTGATAAATGAGTTTGGAAAAGCTTGATTAAGTAGAACATCACCACATGCTGTGCAGCTGAATTTGAAGTAACTTGTGGGTTAGATTTTGGGAAACATCTTTCTAAGTAATGGAATATATATAATATCTTGCAATCAGAGAATCCTAAACAGGGTGTGCATTGAGTACTTAAAGGGCATGCAAGCATGTAACATGGAGTGGTCAAATGTCTGCACAGTGCAGTCCAGAGCAGGAACCTTATGCTCTATTTCTCTCAGCTAGATGTGAGGAGTGGAAGTAAGCCGTGCTGCATCTTTAATGAGAGTCTGACATCTTCAGGCTCACTATCTGTCCAGCTAGTGCCTTCTTTATCCGTACCTGCATGGCACTCACTGAGGGGACAGAAAACAGAAAATGCCACTAAGCCCACAGATGCTTTCAAGAACAAACCACCACACCCTCCCTAGAAGTGAATGCCATGTATAGTAGCACAATGTGTAGGTGCCAATCCCTGACAGCAGGAAATTGCACTTAATAAAACCTCGTAAAGCATAGTCCTTGCCCTCACTCTATATCCTCAGTGGCATTTAATTGATTGGTTAAATGGTTTTCATAGACTCTTCATTAGCCCGTTACAGCAGTGGATCAATACCACATCATTACATGCATGATTGAACCAAGTACCAGCCATGCGCTGCAGGGCCCATTGGTTTGCATTTGTAAACATTGAATTATTGTGACACTGGCCAACTACATGAACTGGCAAGGTGATGTTGCTCTGCCAAAAACGTACAAAACTGATTGACTACGCGCACTGGCTTGTCATGAACTGAATGAAGGATATATTATTAAAGCAGAACAACAATTAAGTATTGGAATCAGCACCCAGTTTAAGATGAGCAAGGATACAATTAATATGTATAGTTGAGACAGCCAAATTGGAGCAAATATCCAACTTGCCAATACCAAACATATGTTGCCTTATGGGAGAGCCTCGCTTCTAAGTTCTGGTATTGCATATATACAGTATACTCACAGGTAGCCATTAGTCTACTGCAGCTCACATTATCGTATCAAATGTTCAAGATCGAGCGGTTTAATCTAACAGCTAAACAACATCTGGGGATGAAATCACACCAACCACAAAGCCAAATCTGCTTTCTTTCACTTGATCAGCTCCGCCTTCATTTACATCTCAATGACATACCTGTAAAGTTTTGTGACTGTGCCTTGCGCCAAGTCCACAGACAGACAGACGGACAGACAGAAAGACAGACAAATACTGTACTGTATATAAACACATGGCAAAGTATTAAAAGCTTCCTCTGTCGTAGTTCCAGCTAGAGTATGGTGTCACCAGGATCACTTTTTGGCATTATGACACTAGCATAGACTAAAAAGTTAAAAACAATACCAGTGTTGTTGTGGTTGCTGGTAACAATGATTTCATTATCAAACTACATTTGCAAATGAATTTGAATACAGTAAAATATTCTTCCACTAATGTATGCAGGCAGTTTGGATGTCTTACTCTTTGTATGCAAGTCTTTTGTGTCTGTAAGCGTGTGTGAAGTGCAAAGTTGCAGCCATCGTATCTTATTTCACCCCCTATTCTGTCCCTTAGGGAGCATCCTCCACTGTTCACAAAACAAAGTACTGTTGTGCACATAGGTGGAAACATTTGTCTAACCCGTTCACCCCTGAGATTTCCTCACTTTCTGTGTTCATTGAACGGAATGAGATCTAAATACTTCTGTAGAGCCTGTACACATGGGCGTTATACTGAGGTCAAACTGGCGCCCTTGTGTATGTGCATGTGCATGAGCGCGTGTGCTGACTTGGTGTGGATGAAGTGACTTGCTTTGTGCGTGACCAGTCGACCACATCCCTCACAATAGGCAGAAAAAGGGGGTGACTACCTTTTGACAGAGCATTTCATCTCAATGAGATCATAACAATTGTCTATTTATGGCATGTGGCACGCTGTTATGAGAGGAGTGTTTGAACTCGGTGCAGAGGAATGCTGTCGAATTTCATCCCGTTTTACCTTTCAGATCCTCACTCCAAAACAGCTGCCTCTTTTAATAATCATATGCAGTCCAGCACAGCGGTTCATCCCTAGCCCTGCTGAACTCAGTATTGCTCTTTTGACTCCCCCTCCCCTCGCTTTATTTTTTAACACTGTCCCATTCTCTCTTTTACACTGACCATCACGTTTGTGAACTGTTTTTGGTGCCCCCACCCCCCCCCCCCCCTTCATAGTGCGAGACAGAACCAGGGATATAGGGAGGGAGGGGGGAAAGTGAGGGGGGAGAAGAGGAGGGGTTAAGAGAAATGGAGGGAAGGGTTGATGAAAACAACAGATCTCTGCTCCCTAATCCTTTTGTGTCGACGGTGTTAATCCACCCGAGCAAACCCAGCCTCCCCCCCCCCCCTCCCCCACCGACCCACACCGCTCGCCCTCCCTCAACCCCTGCTTCTGCAGCATATACCAGGCGCACCACCACATAAACAAACGACAGCCCTCCTGAAACCAATACCAGTCCCCCAGACAGTCAAGCAGAAGTGCACGGCAGCCGCTGCCCCCCCCCCCCCCCCCCCCCGAACACGCAACTCAGAATCAACTCTGTCCCTGTTTTCATCCTGTTCATCTTTGCAGCCACTGGGAACAAGTCTATTCTGGATTGCGTGCTTTGTTTATCTATGCAAACATATTTTAAGGTTGCATCAGCATGGCATCGTGTGTATCAGAATTTGCAAAGTATTGTTTAAATATTGCTTTGCTTTCATGCATTTGTTTGTTTTTTCCGTACATACATGTGATAAATGCACTTGACAGCAACACGGTGTATTCACGGCAAGTGTGTTTGTGTCGCGATGTTGTTTACGAGCTTTTAGAGAGAGGGGGGAGGGAGGGATTGGGGTGTCGGGGAGGGGTAGCGCAGCGGTTGCCGGGGAAAGAGGAGGTTGTATCTAATGAGGTCACACCCTGGCAACCCGGTGACTCCTCCCACTCAACCCCCTCCTCTCTACCTCCACCATCTCTCCATTTTGCCCTCTCTGAATGTGCCCACCCACTCTCCCCCCCCCCCCCCCCCCCCCCCCCCTCACCCTTTGACAGAGAGCGCTCTCCGTGGTGCTGAAAGCAGAAAAACACATTCAGGCAGGCTCCAGTTAGAGTGCAGCTGCAAAGGGAAAGCATGCGAGACACACGAGGCAAAAAAACCAAAATAAACGACTAACTGGACGAAAGAGATTAGGGAAAGAGTGCTTATCAAGATGAGTTGAAAAGAACACAGCAGGAGAATTAGGAGTGTAGCAAAAGGAAGGAGAGAGGGAGAGAGAATGACGCTCTAGCAGTAGGTGGCTACAGTAGGCAGTGGGTGTGTTCTTGTTGTTGTGATCTATAGTTGGGAAGCCCGGTGTCATCTGCTTAAGCACAGAGCGACTCTACAGCCCTGTGTGGACGAGCAGGGCTGAGGGAGCCGGCAGGGGATGCCATTACTGGAAACTCACTCTGCTTTACCGCCGTCTAAACCTTCAGGGCACCGTGGATGAGGACTCCTTTCACCTGCATGACACTCTGAGACATTGTATGCATTTGGACATATTCAAGCAGAAGGAGAGACATTCTGGGAAAGAAGAAAGACTGTGAGCGCCTGGCGTGCATCTGCAAGAGGAGTTTGATGTGTGAGAGTGTTTGAGAGTGCCAGTGTGCATTTGTGTCATGCTTTCGGTCGCGGGTGCGGTCTGTTGCTACGCTGCATCTTCCTTCTGTCTCTAGCATGTGCAGATGTGTGGAGAAGTGAAGCTGGCACCTGGTTAGGAGTTTGGCTCCATCTGGACTGGAGGGGTCACATCTCCCTTTCTGCCCAGGGAAGGGAGTATTGGGCTGGGCACCCAATGTCCCCACTCCCCTCTAGCACCAGCCTTATCCTGGATCATATGGACTCCTTCTAGCAAGTCAAACAGTTGGACTATACGATGGATGGAAGTCTATGTGGATTTAAGTGGAATAGTGCATTGGTTATGCAGCATAGTTCAGAGTTCACTAGCATGCACTGGACTCATCAGGAGAAGACAGAAGACAAGTTGGTCCACAAACTAGCAGGGACACAGCTCCATTGTAAGTATGCATCATTACACTTGATTTCACACAACATTGACCCATAAACCCACAAAGATATATGCAAATGCTAATACTACACCTAATGCATCATCATAATGCATGCAAATGTTATTGTTTCTTTCCTCACATCCACATACAAATCGCAAAAAAACAAGGAGTGATGCACCTGTGTGTGTGTGTCTACAGTTTACAGGTTCACCTGGTCCACTGTGCTGCACTGATGTGTGTGTCTGTGTGTGCATGAGCGCCCACGCTCGCTGTCACCAGACTATTGGCCTTGTAATCTTTTTGACATTGTGTCACTAGAATATCCATGCTGCCCTTCTCCTGTGACATGGTTGCCTGGAAACAGAAATGGTGTGCCACTTTCATTTACTTAAAGCAAAGTGCACCTCTGTGTTTCAACTGTTGCAGCCCATTTCAGCTGGGGCTAATGGAGAGACAAGAGAGGAGATAGAAAAAGGGGAAAAAAAAGAAAATGCATAAAGCCACGGGGAAATGGATAGGAAAATAAAGCTCTGTTGAAAAAAACGGTTGCTGAATTGACAGGTTTTATAGAGATTAGCAAACAAGAATAGAATTTGACATCGATGAGTTACGGGAGGACAATCCAATGTGAAAGGCTTGGTTGGTAAAAACAGTGTGATAAACAAGCTGATTCCAGTGCAGAGTGCTGCTGCAGGCTTATAGGGATTAGGCAGGCAGGCTTAATTCAGCTCAAACACTGTTTGAACTGTGCCTTCCTACTGCTGCACCCTTAACACATCTAACTGGTGCACCTTGTTTTTCTTCAGAAAGCAAGATGTATTTCCTTTGTACAGCTCCAGATGTCTGGCTGTGATTGTGCACCAGTGATAAGACCTGATATTCATGGTGGAAAAAACACCTTCACCACTTTGACAGCATGATGTTGTGCCCTAGTTTGAACTCTGCTCCAAGATGTTGATTCCATCTGTTCTGTTGGCTCTTATCAGCGCTCTACTTGTGCCTGTAAAAAGAGTCCGCTAAGGTGTGTGGAGAATAGGTGGAAGGGAGTGGAAGATAAACCCACTGACCTAGGCACCATGCTGGACTTGATAGACAGACACAAGTTAGAGGGATGCTGAGGATGCCCAGACAATGGCCAGTCTCTTAGTTGGTCCTTCAATCTCCATCTGGCAAGCACCCCGACACCCCCCCTTGTTGCCCTTGCCTCCCTACACACAAACATACAGTTATCATAAGCCCCCTCCCCCTCCCCACGCACACTCACACTCAGCGCCTCTCACACGTAAACAAGCATGAGTCTTAGGCTGATCTGAAAACATTGACCTACATAAAAGCATGCACTGTCTTCCAACACTAGCCTCTCCAAAATCACATTTGGCCGTTGCACATAGCATATACTATGTTCATGCAGCTGCACAGGTTTTTAGGCAGATGTACACACATGAGCACTGAATCATATCATATGCTGCACCATGTTGTGTTTGGAAATGTATTCACAATTCGGTTGCTATCATACTATGATTCACTGAAGTAGTGAATCATATGATAGCACCACATTGGATGTATCATTGAAGAGGCTTTTCCTCACAGAAGCATCCACGCTCTCTCTTATGACAACGATGGTGTCAGTAATAGTCTTTTTACGGAATCAAAAGGCAGCTAGGAACAACTCACGAGGAGACTAATTTTAGATCTTAAACACTGGATCGAGGATGATATCCGCATATGCAAAACCACGCATCTAGTAAGAGTGGTTTGTTAAATCTGTGTGTTGGTCCCTGGAGTGCTGTATTTTCACATCTGAGCCCAGCACATATTGCATCTGCAGAAGATGAAAGCCCATTTTCAGTTTTCATTCAGACAGCCAATCATTTCAGCCAGGAAATGTGCGAACACAACTGAGAAAATGAACAGCCGCTACTGATCCACAGCCAATAAGGAGACTGAAACCCAAGGTTATGAGTAAATCTGGCTAAATAGTGTGTGCATATGTGCATGTAGGTTGTTGTGTGTGGGTGTTTGTTTGTATGTAAACAACCCTGAAGGGAAAACGTTTACTCTGGACAGATATTGGAAGTCTATGAATCCTGATTAGGCGATGAACTCCACAAGCATTCACACAAACTTAATTTGTTTATATATTTGTTGCTGGTGATGAAATCTTGCTCCATAGATTTTCATCTCACAAAGACTGACTTGTAGTATTTTGTGTTTCTATCTCTTTAAGGCAAGCGATTCACACTAACATTTTCTTTATGTCTCTATCAGAATGCTGTGGAAACACTTGAAGAATGATGAGCTCCAAAGAGGAGGAAACTCTCCGTTTTTTCCAGTATGTTGAGGAGAATGGGCTGAGAGCCTACAACGGCCTAGTGGCTCAGAACCTGGACCACACCAGGAATGAGAAAAATAGGACATTCCTGCAGGAGAAAAACGACAAGAAGAGAAAACAGGAGGAAGCCATAAGGAGGTAGGAAGAACACAAACAAATAAAGTGCTTCACAAAACGAAAAACAGACTCTTTGGCAAAATCTCATAAAGAATACATACATTACATGCAATCTTGCTTCAGCTCACTAAAGGCATTCTGCTCTCTAAAGGCGAGCATGTCACTGGGTTCACTTCAGAAAGATGTCGTAAGGAATTAGGACAAGCGGCCTGAGGGTCCCTTAGGCAATGGCAGGTTGCTATCTTGTGGGGGTTGCCAATGTGGACTGGTGCACCCCATGATCTGTAGAGGATAATTAATTTTCCCTTTTAGACTTATTTAGGACTTGTCCTTGGATGGAGGTCATCGCTGCTCCATTTTTAGTATGGAGAGCGTTTACAATTAACTCGACTGGGCTTGCGACAGACAGTGGATTCGCTTTCAGAGACATCCAGTTATGCTGTTGGCGTATCACTTAAGTAGAACAACCCTCCTGTTTGGAGGTGAACATTTTCCAAAACTGTAGAAAGTTTTATCTTTTTTTTTGTAATTGTTGTAACACCCCTTAGAGTTTGAGAAAATGAGTCACTTGTGCCGCTGCACCCTGTTTCACATGGTGTGATGAGTAAGCAGTTTCCGCTGTGCCACTGTGCGCAGCAACAACACTCTGGGGCATCCCGAAACATGTGCGAATAAGAAGCACGCACTCTCAACGTGACTAGCATGTGGATGTGACGTGCTTGTGTTGTGGGGTAGAATAGGGCACACAGAGTCACAGAGTCATGGGGATGACAACGGGACATTAGAGAGGGGTTTGGAATATGTTTGTGCAAAGACATGGATATCTGTGTTGCTTTGTTCTCCCCCAAAAGTCTGAGAGCATAAACACCACAAACACTCCGTTTTTATTGGTCAAAAATGATTTGAGCTTTAAGAGCAGCAACATCATTTATACAGCTGTGATTTATTTTTCTTGGAATACTATTACATTATATAAGTTTCAGGACTGATAAGTTTATCTTTTGCAGATCAAAAAATAATATCAATTTGAATCTGTGTTTTTCCTAGTAAGGCGTAGATTACTCTTAAGTAAGCACAACTTTTTTTTTTTTTTTTTTAAATATGAATCAAGAGCACCCAAGTAGTAGAAAAAACTTTTCTCCCCTTTGCGATAAAACAAGAGGGCGATAGAAAATGCTGTCCAATCTTGTCATAGTATGTAAATATCAGCTGAGATAGATCAGATCCAGTACAAAGTGTTTTATCAGCTTTGAGATTTAGTTTTGCATTGAATGCTTACATTGATGTGGCCAGATGGTTCTCTTTAACTGATTTAACACTTTGAACCTTGTCACATTTATGTCAAGGGGTCCTGTGATTAAAAATGAACTGTTTATCCGCTGCCCTTGTGTGCATTGTACAGTATGCATACTGTATATCCCGAGCAAAACTGACCTAAAGTTGAACATCAAACCAACAGAACGTGTTCTAAAAAGCAATCGAAAACATATCCTGCACTGACTTTTATCACTTAAAAACAGAATGTCCCTGCTTCCATTGTCTTCAGCCGTCTGATGCAGGCCTGTAAAGTAGTTTACTGAATGGGACAGGCTGGGCGACGCCTGAGGAAAATGGCATCTACTGTCCACTGTCTCTCAGCTGTTGCCAAAGCTAAAATATTAATACACAGTCACTGGAGGAATAGTCTAAAAAATAACTGGATTTTTCATGAGGCCTATAAGTAGGTCAATGAGACGACCCATTTGTACAGTAACTGAATGAGAGTGAGAGGGAGTGTGAGGATTCATAGAATAGAACCGGAGGGATGAAACCCCTCTTTAATGGTCACACATGCAGAGCACACAGCACACACAGCACACACAGTGACATTTGGCCTCTGCATTTAACCCATCCTAGTACCAGGAGTCTAGTACTATGAGCAGTGGGCAGCTATTGTACAGCGCCCGGGGAGCAATGGGAGTGGGGGGGGAAGGGGGTTGTCCGGTGGCTTGCTCAAGGGCACCAAGGCAGGGCCCAGGAGGTGAACTCTCCAAGTAGCAGTCCATATTTAGGTCGTTCGGGGACTTGAACTGGCGACCCTACGGCTCACAGTCCAAGCCCCTACTGACTGTGCCACTGCCGGACAATGTGTGTGCATGCTTGCAAGTGTGTGTGTGTGCAAGCACGTGCTTGTGTACATGTGCATGCATGGGCATGAGCATAGGGAAATGAGCGAGAAAGGTAGGAAAGAGCAAATGGCCTCTGTGATTGTTTGAGGGCAAAAGAGCTTGTTAAAGCAAATGTGTTTAAGAGGGGGGGAATAGAAAAAAACCCTGTTAGAAACAGATTAAGTGCGAGCCCAGTTTCAGGAGATGTGTTCTGCCTGGTGACAGCTGGAACAGCCATAGGCCAATCAGATTAGCACGTTAGGTTTGAGTGAGGCGGGCCTTCCTGCCTGCTGCTATCTCACTCTGGGTTTCTTTTATTGTATTTCATATGAAGAACTCATTCACACACACACACACACACACACACACACACACACACACACACACACACACACACACACACACACACACACACACACACACACACACACACACACACACACACACACACACACACACTCACACAAACAAATTCCAACAAATTTGATTAAACGTGCCAGTGCATCCACAACACAAACACAACCTCCACTTAAATTTACTTATATTTACATATGCTTGCAAATTTCAAACGACTGCTTTTGTTCTCTTTGCCCTTTGTGAAGACATGCACGCATAAACAGATAGACATTCTGTCAATCCTTTTCCCCTTCAAAATCTCCTTTACTGTTTATTTGTCTGTGTTGTTGTTTTTCGTGTCACATGGTGTGACAGGGAGAGAGCCAGAGCTGCCCGACGACAAGTCAGCTCCAACTGGTCCAAATGCACCTGTGGTCTGTCCTCTAGCCAATCACTGGGCAAATATACTATAAATAATCCAGTCACCACTACTCCAGTCACACCCACCCACCAACACACACAGTCCATGTATATGAGTGTGCACGCAGACAGTCACAGCAAATACACAGTCAAAACATACTGTATGAAAAGGTTGACGCTTGTGGCTGAATGGCTTGAAAGATTTAAGACTATTTTCAGTGACATTTTTTCAACTTATTTGTTGTTTGGCAAAAACATTTGCAATATGTTATAGAGACTGATCCAACCATTAAAAATGACAAAACACATTTGTTTTGCTATGACCTTACCTTGTGTCTTCTATGAAGCCATCATTAAAACAATTTGTCTTCCTGTTCTGCTTCCATATCTTCAAGAATCATTAGCTGTTGGTCTTTTGTTTGTGACACTACATTTCCCCTATTCCTAGTAATACCATTAATGCTAGCTAATAGCACATGTTTATCAAATATCTATCACTACTATCAAACTTTATCCAGAGGGATTGCAGAGAAAGGAATACGCACTCTTATATCCCAGTATTTGTCGAAGCATACCATTTCCCAAACCATAATTATGTGCTGACATATCCTTAGTCATGTTGAGCTGGTTCCAAATTATTAACTCAAGCGTATACTTTTAATGAATCCATATTTATATTGACTTCCTTGTATCATTTCTTTGTTTCCCATTGTATTTTGAATTGGATATGAATGAACTTCTTCTCTGTCTTTCACTAATGCTTCAAAATCGGACTTGCCCCAACAATAAACCAGTCTCAGCTGTTGTGTACTCCTTCAAATCTAATGACATATTCACCCTAAAGTACATATTTGGGTATAGCTGGAGGTTTTATATCTAACTATAGGAATTGTGTTCCCTCTGAAATGTGCGGCTCTACTGTTTGCAGCAGTCACATTCCTCTCGTATCCCCACTGTCATCCTTAAACAATGACAGTGATGTGGTTATGATGTGCACGTGTGCTTTATTATTAATGTGCGGCAGTGGCTGGTTTTGTGTCTGGTTTCTATGGGTACCATGTTGCTAGGCAAAGTTAAGCCCCTGAGCAATGAACCCACCCCACCAAGCACCTTCTGTTCAGCAGCTGGCCAGGAGGGAGTCAGAGTCAGCAAAGTCACACACTGAGGGGTCATAAACAACCGCATGCATTCACTCCCACATGCATGCAAAAACTCACACAAGTCAGGGATTTGTGAAGCCACACATTCAAATGCATCTTATTTCATGCCAACATTTAAATCTCCGACAAAAAGCCTAATCGTGACTCCGGTATGATAATAAATAAATAAATAAAGTGCAGAGATCAAGTGTGTATAGATTGCATACTTGTCATGTCTATTGTACAAATAATTTCCCCTGAAAAAGTCAGATCGTCAGCTTGTTTACTCTGCAATACACACACATTTGTACACACCGCCCTTCTCTCCCCTATTACCACACAACACTCAGACATCATTAACGCTCCATTCAGGCCAATCATCCATTTATAGAGATTGATTGTGTACAGACGGGGGGACGTCCATGGTGTCATTATGTGTGTGCGTGTGTGTGTGTGTGTGTGTGTGTGTGTGTGTGTGTGTGTGTGTGTGTGTGTGTGTGTGTGTGTGTGTGTGTGTGTGTGTGTGTGTGTGTGTGTGTGTGTGTGTGTGTGTGTGTGTGTGTGTGTGTGTGTGTGTGTGTGTGTGTGTGTGTGTGTGTGTGTGTGTGTGTGTGAGCAGCCCTAAACTGAAATCAATGCTTTGCCCTGAAATAAACCCTGCTTCCAGTGGCACTAACATGCCTGTTACTGTTAACTTAGCGCTCTCTCTATCAGTTGAACACAGAATGAAATACACACACACACACACACACACACACACGCACACACACACACTCACACACACGCACACACACACACACCACGAAGACTCTGTATGTCAGGCTGTGTTGCTTTTGCTGTCTGCTGACAAGAACAGCTTCCAGGGGATGATGTGTCAAGACTAATGCCTCTTTTTTCAGCCCCAATGATACAATATAATAAAGTTATTGAATACATTTCAGATTGTTTCACTCTTTTGCATCAGATGCCATGTTTTTATTATTTATCTATAATAACATATTTATCTTCTCTTGTCCCTTTATCTCTCCTCCCCTCCCTCTCCCCCTCTCTCTATCTTGCTCTCCATTTCAGGACAGGTGAGGACATTGCAACTGAAGGCAAGCACTTACGTATGGGCTCTATTACCATGCCGGACCCCCAGGAACGCATGCCCATGCCCCACCCGCACGCCCTCGCCTGTGGGCAGGGCTTCTCCGTGCGCTCCCAGTCCCTCCACTCTGTCGGCGGTGGGAACAGTGGGGGCGGAGGAGACGAGGAGGTAGGGAGCCCGACCTCTAGGAAGCAGCCCCCACCCAAGCCCAGGAGAGACCCGGCCACCAAGCTGAGCATGTCGTCTGAGGCGGTGGACCACAGTCCCACGTCCACCTGCCGCGGGGAGCGATGTGACGGTGAGTGGTGGTGGCACTTCACACCAAACAGCTGCGCTATATTTAGCTGCTCTCTGCAGGGCCCTCCTCAACAGCTTCTCCTACAATGACATGACATCTAGCTCTTCACTGCATACTTCACTCCAAGTACCATTGAGGCAAATTCATGTTAAAAAAGAGCTTTAAGTACAGTTAAACCACAGTTACCACATTTAGGATGCACTACACAACAATTAGGATGTCATAGCCTGCGGTCAAATAAACTGCATGTAAAGGAATGCTCAAATGATTAAGACAAGGTTTGGACTGCACCACGCTGATTAGTCACAGTTTGCCTGTTGTGTGAGGGAAAACCCTTCGTAACATGTGTGAATGGCGGTGGACAATGAGCATATATTACAAAATAATTAGGACCGCAGGCCAGATCAATTGTGACTGCGAGAATCTATGAAGAAAGGTTGGAAGGTTATGGATTTGTTTTTGTTTGACTTTTTTACCGCAGGTCGTTGCCACACAGATAAATCAGATAGTATTACATTCAGACTCCTTTACTAACATGTTAAAGCCGGAGTGAAAGTATCATCACAGCATGATGCATATGAATGACTGGATTATTTCTTGTGCTGCTAGAAACCGCTGGGCTTTGGGGAATATAGTCTCATACATCCTTTTTTGTGTTGTGTAAGCTGTTATTGGTTGGCGGTCTGAACAGCATCTGAGGCACTAACCCTAACCATTTTGATGTATAGATAACCAACGTCTGTGGACTCAACAAGTTGTCATCAGGCTAACATTTGAAACATTATAACATTTAAAAAGGTACAAATGTTGCCATATCTATGTGGATTTGACTACCAGTAGTTATATATCCACTAAGTATTGTACTCATAAGGTCTCCATAGGCTTTTAATATTGTCCTAGTTTCTCTGGCTGAGTGTAATGTCCTAAACATTTTTTATATAGTTTTGTGTATTAGGTTGAAGCTCCAGTAGCTTCGCCCCTTGAACATGGGGCTGGCTACAGGAGGGTATTAATCACAAATGTCTTACTTACTTTAATATTAAATATGACAAGGTTAATTACCAATAAAAACGAAATCCTTCTAGATAAATCTAGCAAGGCCAACATTTAGATGTGCCTTGATTGAGATTGAGTGGGAGCACCCTGCAGCAATTTCACTCAATATTTTCCAACAAAATAAACAAACACAATATGCCTGTTTGGCTATGGATGAAAGGAGGGCATAATTATTGTACATCAGCTCCATGTAAGAAAAGCTTTAATGAATAGGACCAGAATTAATTGAGCAAAAGTAATGTTTCCCTAGAGCCACACAAACAATCACTGGCTGAGCGAATACACACAGCTAAACCATTTTAAAGAGGAAATGCACATGTGCTGATCACAAAGAAAACTAACATGCATTGCAAAATTAAACTGATATAAACTATAATAATAGTATTTGAGGTAGGTGCAAAAAGATTTAGAGGTTGAGGGGAAGCTTTGACTCCATTTCACTTTGGATGCTTCGTTGCCAACGTGATGTTAAGGGAGTCGCCCAGCCTGGCTCAGATTGGTGGGGATCTCTCTATGTGCACACAGATCTTCCTGGGCACCACGGCAACCATCCCACAGAAACAAGACCCCCTGCAGCACAGCCAATCACAGAATCACTGAGCAGCTCGAGCCAATGGGGCTCTAGAGATGCTGAAGTCTGAGGCTTAGCAGCCAATCAGAGTGAGAGTGTGGGGGTGTCCCTGGCTGAGGGGAGGGTTGCGTGCTCTGTAGCTGGCGCTGTAGCGGGAAGGGGAGGAGCCTGTCCGAGTAGAATTCATTCAGGAGGAGCGATTGACCTAGATTCATTTTCCCCAGGAGGAGAGGGAGGGGGAGGGGGGTTTGCGGGTAAACACATCCGCTGCAGGGGGAGGGGGAGAAGAGGGAGCAATAGAGAGAGGAGAGGAGACCGGGAGTAAGAGATGTATGGACGGATTCATCATTAGTGCTCAAACAGATCTCAAAATCCAACACATGTATCAGAAATAATGCACATGGTAAATCAAAAGAGGAACGCATACACTCACACAAAAAGAGAGAGAGTAAACAAAGGGAGAGAGAGTACACAAAATGAAAGTATCATGTCAGTCCAATTAAACACATGCCAGAACACATGTGGATTTTCAAATAACACCCTATCAATCATCATAAAGTACATTGTTAAAAAATTACCTGTTTGATTGATTTTAAATTCAAATTTGAATCATCAACATCCACATTTTTGTTAAACCAACTGAATTTTCTTGAATTCACACATGGCTATCCTTTTCTAGTTCTCAATTGAAATAAAAAAACTCTCAATATAACAGTCTAGCTATGTATCTACATCCGTCTATCAAATGTCGTGCAAATCAAAAATACAAACACCTACAGATAGATTCCACTTCGGGAAAGATTGACTTTATAATTTGCGCATTATAAAATGTGTACATGCTTGCCCTAATTTCCCTCTCTGAATGTATAGGCATGTGCAGTGTACAGTATGCGTGCTTGCATGCATGTAGGGATGGATGCTGGTGAGTCATACAGTTACAGGAAGTATGCGTGTGTCTTGGCCATCTGGCATCTGAATTATTAAAGGTGTAAAATCTGCAGTTTTAGGATTTCAGACATGGTCCAGCTCTTAACTACACTTATCTCTCCCTGCCTATCAGAGAACGGGACTCTCCCATCAAGATATCTCAGTGTCTGACCTAGAAATGCTCTGTGAACATCCCAGTAGTAAGAGTTCTTGTGCTGTGAGTAAACTAGCATTAGGACCGCATCGTACAGTAGTATCTAGTCGACGTGAAAACTGTACCATAGCCTCACTGCACCACATCTAAAGAGATTTACACTGCAATAGTACGTCACCACTATCAGAAAGAAGTTTCACAGTGTGTGTGACCCAGATACTATACTCACATACTGCTCCACTGCCGTATATGTGACCTAGAAATATGCATATGCCTCAACTATTACCACAAATCTGACTCAAGATATTGCTCTCAGCTATACACGTTGACCTACTGTACATCTGACCAACGAAACTTGGTGTTGGCCTTATATTAATGATAATGACTCACTCAATGATTCTTGCAAAGATAAGAAGAAGGGTTTTTATCACATTGAGTATTGCGATGTGTATGAAAGCTGTGCAAACCCCCTCAAACAACAACAAAATATCAGTCAGAGCTACAAAAATCATACAATGTACTTTCTGTCGCCCGGTATTGCCAATATGATTGTTTCCAGTGGATTTGGGTTTGAACCTTCTTTCTCTCTATCCTTCAGGAGCTCAAGGATGCAGTGAGGACTGCAGGCGGATGCCTCCACCCAAACCCAAGAGGAACCCCAACACGCAACTGAGCGTTTCCTTCGATGACTCCTTCATCAAGAGCCACGGTGGGGTTTGCAGAGCCCTCCACCACGTCACCTCCCCTTATGAACTCAGCCAATCGCCTCCGCAGAGTGACGAGAGCCCTACAGACGACTGCGAAGATGAACCTGTCTACATAGAGATGGGTGGCGTTGATGTCGGAGCACGAGAACCCCTGAAGAGTGAGGACGAGGAGCCGGGAGAGTCTGTGTACGAGGAGATGAAGTACCCAGTTCTTGATGATATGGAGTACCGCACTGACCCTGTGGGATGCCGCTCCGCGTGCCCCACCCCGGCCCCCTATGACCCTGAACCTCTCAGTCGCTGCTCGACACCTCGAAACATTCCACTCTGTGACATTCCTGCACCCTTTCCCAATTTGCTCACCCATCGGCCTCCTTTGCTGGTGTTCCCACCGGCGCCGGCTCAGTGCTCGCCTAACTCAGACGAGTCCCCCCTCACCCCTCTAGATGTAAACAAATTGCCAATGATGGACAACCAATCCTACAGTAAATCTCCAACATCATCCAGCGAGCAACCTTCCTCTGCTCACCTCCGCAGGGAGCTCACCGCCACCCCGACCCTCACCATCTCTGGCCGCTCTTCTGCGCCTCCTCTTCCCTGTACCCTCTACAAATCCTCCTCCTCGTCCTCCTATCAGCGCAGCCACTCTGCTTGCCCATCACCGGTCAGCATGGGCCGCTGTCTCACCCCTCTCAGCCTCATGCGTACACCTCCCTTCGATGCTCCGATGCCGTTCCCCGGGGGGCTGCCGCGGAGCGCCTCGGCCACCCCTCACGGCAAAGGCTCCCCACCTCAGGACGGTGGGGGCCGACTCCATGGCTCTATGCAGAATGTGTCGACAGGGCGATCACGGACCCCCACCAGCCCACTGGACGAACTTACCAACCTGTTCACAACTGGGAGGAACATGCTGAAGAAGAACGCCAGTGGCAGGAAGTCTAAAGAGCCTGGAGAGAGTGAGTCATTTCACACATTTGTGTCCTCAATTTGGGGCTTAGTGAAGCAAAGGGCACAAACACAAGCTCATATTTATTTATGTCTCTTTGATTCCTGAAGAGTGGAGACAACTGCATCTCCTTTTAGAAATCTTACCCTGTATGGATGTATCCTCATTTCATAAGAGAGAAGCTTAGTTAGGAGACTTAATGCAACCCTACAGTACAGAGAGAAGCTGCAGTCTCACAATAACAGGGACAGCCAATGGTTTGGCTTTATTAAACCCTGCAGTGAACCCCAAAAAGTAGTCTTGAGTTCCCTTGTTAGTGTAATTCATCCATGTTTTGGCTTCACAAAAATTCAACGCTGCTAAATTAGGGGGCTATGCAGAGAATGCGCCCTTTCTACTGTACCATGTATGATGTTTGTGGCGCTCTTTAATCTAGGCCCGGCCAGCGAGCCAAGTCTGATACAGATCGTATGATTTAATCTGAGGGGATTAGAGACTAAAGAGGACAGCAGGTCCCTCAAACCTACTCATGGCATTAGGCCATCAGGCAGAATTACTTTTAAATATGTAAACATCATGTTTAAATACCAATAGCCGATGCCATGCTGCACTCAAGACTTTGCAAAAAGGTATGCAACTTTAAAGGCAAACATTATTTGCTCATAATGATGAGTGCAAAAGTTGTCGATATTTTACAAAGGTGTAAAAACACCAAATCAGTTGTCGTGTTCATATTATCTATGGCGCCCTATGGTGAGTCTGGTGCCAGCAGCATAATCAAGCAGTCACACATTTAAGTTGTCATTCTCATGCATTATACAACCATTATTTTATTAGTTAAAAAAAGCCATGTTAAGCCTGAATGATTAACTACAGCCATTACTGTATGCCAAACTAAATAAGCAAGAGGGGATTTCATTAATGCATGGAGTGTAGTTCATGTAGAGGTATGTCATGCATTATTTGAAAAGGGTCACTAATACATTAAAATAGAGCATCTGATGATTTGAGTGAATGTTGAAATAAAATAACCATAGTTGGCATATAGCTGAGCTGTAGTGTGACATACTTAAAAAAATTGAACATAAACCCTTCATCAAATGCTCCAAAACAGAAATGATTAAAGCCCATTTTGTACATAAATCATAAAAGTACTACAAAGAGTCCACACATCCATCCTTACTCAACTCTCGTAGCAACTCGAACATAGCAACAGTGGAAGAAGGAGAAATCCCTGTTTTTTATTTGCAGATTCCCTCCCCATGGGTAATGCAGCCAATCACAGCTCAGGGCATGCCGGTCTACAGTGAAACTGAGCAATGAGCTCCTGATGGGAATAGCTACGGCTCTGAACTCAAATCTCCACCTGATCAGAGGATTTTAGATTCTCTTTTCTGTCCAATCAACACACACTCCTCTCATGATTGAGCCAATCAGGAAGCTGTGGCTGCTGTGCGGATGGGGATGGTAGAAGCTTTGACAATTTATGATTTCTTGCTCTTTTGAAGTCACATGATAAATACATCTTATAGTTAGTGTGACAACTGGTGCACATTTGCTGTTTAATCTCTCGATTATACTAGATCTTTCCAATTACTGGCTCACATTAAATGATGGTTATATGGTCAAGGGGTGCATTCAGGCACTAGGAAGTGACCAGTGAAACCTTTAACAGTATTTTGTTCTCTAGCCCCATTTGGATTGTAAACAGGTTACATATGCTTCCTATGTATCAAGGGTGGGATGCGCCGACACGGCTTTCAGTTTTTTTTCATCCCAACACCTGTGTACAAGCGCCACATGGGGCTGAAGGACCGACAGGTTGTGTGTGTGTGTGTGTGTGTGTGTGTGTGTGTGTGTGTGTGTGTGTGTGTGTGTGTGTGTGTGTGTGTCTGTGTGTGTGTGTGTGTGTGTGTGTGTGTGTGTGTGTGTGTGTGTGTGTGTGTGTGTGTGTGTGTGTGTGTATGAGCACACACGCCTAACACAATATCTGGAGGTTGATTTTTTTTGTCTCTCACTATCCGAGGCGATAAAGGCAGCAACAGCTAGTGACCCACTTACCAACTGGTTGATCGCAACACTCTCTCTCATACTGTACACACACATGCATGCACACATGTATGACACATAACTTGACAAGGGGTGGACATGATAAGGAATGCCTATGCATGCTACTTATGTTAAAGCCCATATAGAAACCATATAGCAGCATAGTCTACATGGAAATCAACCATGCACATACATTTTTTTATTTGCGCAGTGATGATGTATAATGCCTTTATTGTGCCTTGAATCAGTGACATACATACAGTTCCAGTGTTTATTGTTGTATGTACTCTATAGACAACAGACAAAACAGATGTGGATGGTAATCAAAACATCATATGGCACATGTTAATGTTTAAGAATACATGTTGTATTGTTAACAAAGGTTATTTTATGGTACTGTCGTAGATTTTAGGGTAAAACAAAAGCGACAGTGAAAAAATAAGAAACATTTGTTATTTTAGCTTATTGAACTGCAAAAAGTGTGCGTGATAGTGTGAATTAATATATACCACGACAAATACAGTTCTAATGCCTGTTAGCGCACATATTGAATCATCTAACTCCAGTGGTTTACTGCCACTGCCTCAGTGAGTAGTGAGTGACACCTAGCGGACGAATGATGGTAGTGCAGACATTGGAACAAAAACACAGCATTATTTTGTATTTCTTTGTACAATTGACTATTTATATTTAAGCAATCCATTATATTTATTTATTTGTAATGCATAATTAACTACGACAGAATAAGCTTGAATGTCACAATCAACTAAATGTTTGTCTTCTTCTAAACTATTTGTCCTTGTTGTTTCACAGCTGAGTCCAAAAGCAAATCTCACAGCGAGTCCAAGCGCGAGGGCAAGGAGCGCCACAGCCACAGCAAGGAGTCCAAACGAGAGTCCAAGGATCGCCACAGCAAAGAGTCTTCTCACCGGAAAGACCGGGAAAAAGACAGAGACAAAGACCGGGACAAAGACAGAGATAAAGAAAGACAAAAAGACAGTGACAAAGACAGAGATAAAGACAGACGAAAAGACAAAGACAGAGATAAAGACAGACAGAAAGACAGAGACAAAGACAGACAGAAAGACAGAGACAAAGACAGACAAAAAGACAGAGACAAAGAAAGAGACAGAGATAAGGACAGAGGGAGCAGCAATGCAGAGCCCCTTCCCCCCAGACGCAACAGTAAAGACCGTACGTATAGCGGTTCAGAGGCGCCACCGGGCCGCAGGGACAGCAGGGACCAGGGCTGCAGCAGTGTGGAGCCCATCCCTCTGATAAGAAGGGACTCCAAGGACCGAGGGCTCAGCAATGGTGACCTAATGCTGAGGAGAGACAGTAAAGATCGGGGTGGGGGACACGCGATGGAGTCTTTGATGAGACAGGACAGCAAGGACAGACTGCTCGATCAGCCCCCTGAGCTGTTACCAAAACAAGAGAGCAAGGAAAGGTCAAGAAACGGTGTGGACGGTAGACATGAAAGCAGAGAGAGACTGCTGGATCAGCCGCCTGAGCTCTTACCACGACAGGATAGCAAAGAGAGAGACAGGAACGGTGTGGACTCAAAGCATGAAAGCAGAGACAAGCCGCCTGAGCTTCTCCCTCGACAAGAGATCAAAGACAGAGCTAGAACTGCAGCAGAATATAGGCATGAAAGCAAAGACCACCGTCCTGATTTGTTACCCCCACAGGAATTCAAAGAGAGAGCAAGAAATGAAATTGAACATAGACATGAAGGTAGAATAGATCAGCCGCCTGAGATCCTACCCCGACAAGAAACATCCAGAAGCAGCAACAGCAAGGACAGGGTTGGATTCCCCTCTGAAGCTAAGCATGATGGGAGAGATCGGAGCTGCCACAACGGGGGAGATCTCCCCCCTCCTCTTCTGCCCAGGGAGGACAGTAAGGATCTGAACAGAACTGGTCTGGAAGTGAGACGGGACAGCAAAGACAGAAGTCCAACTGGCTCAGAGCAGCATCATTACGATGTCAAAAAGAGCCCTTCTGCCAAGGGACAGTGCGACAGTAAAGAGCGAGGACACAGATCAGATGGCACGCCCAGACGAGAGAACAGATCAAACTACAGCACGGACCAATCAAAAGCACAAGAGAGGAACGGCAGCACAATGTCAGGGCAGCACTCATCCACAACGACACCTACTCACCACGGGAGACCCTCTGGTAGCCCACCAATGCCCACGGGAACAGGAAACGGTGAGGGTTAAAACATCATATTCATAAAATAACGTCAAATTGATCATAACATTTGTATTAAATATGACCAAATGTGTGATTCTCCCTCCCTATGCAGATCTGAAAGCAGTACCTAAGTATTGCCGCTCACCTTCTATGCCTGCTAACCCCTCCCCAATGGGAACTCCACAGAGGAAAGCAGCAGAGGCACATCAGAGTCAGGTATGCAGATTTGATTGTTTTTATTTACTTGTATTTTGTGGCCTTTGACAGGCCCTGACATTTTTTTCCCTCAATCAGTCCTATAGTATATAAACACACAAGTTAATACAGTTGGTGAATTCTCCATATTTCTGTATTTCTTATTTTCTCTGTGCTCAGTGTTATCATGTCCTTGTGTGCACCAAACAGGATTTAGCTACATTTAAATCAAAGCAGCGCCTTTGGTTTGTTTGACCACATTGTTCAGAGCTTGATTCCCGCTTTTTGATATGTCATGCATTTCATATCCCTTCTCCCAATTTTACACTGTGCTCCGGTCAAAAGGAAAAAGGCCCTAACAAATTAACCCATAGAAAAGAACCACCATATCTGATCAAACTACTAAAAACAAATAGTATATTAAGCTTTTCATTGTGTCTTTTAGTCATGAATAACGAAAAAACCGAAGAGCCTTTTTCAGGAGGTTTAAATTGTGCAACTAACTTTGAGGTCAAGCTGTATTTGCTTTACTTGATACATGTTCTCTGCCCATCAGATGCCCCAGATGCCATGGATCTGTGGAGACAGCACCATGCTTGAGCAGATTGAGAGGAAACGCACCCTCTGCATGGAGATCCGCTCCAAACAACACCCACACCTGCAGAGATCTCTGGAGAGGCCTCCTCCTGCGGACAGGAGCGAGGACAAGCCCCAGGAGAAGAGTCAGTGCAAGCAGCAAAATGCATCTGTCCCCCCAGGCTGGGGGAAGAGCAGCGGGGCCAAGAAGATCCGTCCTCCCCCTTACCCCACACAGAAAACCGTATTCTGGGACACGGCCATCTGACAGTAACACTCAGACCTCCCTGCCACACAACCCCCTATTACCCTCTTTCCCCTGGGCTGTGCTGACTCTTCAGGGGCGTCAGGACAGTCAATAAGAGCACCCGGGGTGAGACTCGCTGATGTCAAAGGACAATGGTGGTTACCATAGCAATATTTCTGCTCGTTCAGGTTGTCATGTTTTCTTATCATCACTGGTGATATTTGCTATTTTTCTATTTCCTGTGACTGGATTCTTGTAATATAATTAGTAGAATAGATATTTGATGAATAGATATTTTCTAAATGAGATGGGGATTAAAAAAGCATCTTAAATTATGTAAAGTAGATGTAGATGCAATCTAATGTTTGTTTTTTGTTATTTTTGTTTTGGTTATTTTACATTTGAAAGCATAATCTATCAATACTTGTACTGTAGTAGCATAATTTTCTTATGCCCAACTCTTTCTTTAGTGCTCCAAAGCACAAAACTGAATGGACTATTCAACTCTGTCTATATATACTTTACATTTTCACTGTTGTATTGTAAGTTGAGGAGTTAACGTCAACGTGCTTTAGATTCCAGCGCCCTCCATGCCTGGTGCAGTACACTTTGTTTTAGAATGTACAACAGTTGGTCCTAGAACAGAAACAGGAAACGTTGTGTGCTTCAGTTTGTATATTACAGTAAGAAGCTGTGTAGTCACTATACATCAGAGCCTTTCAAAGGGGTTGAATCATTTTATAAGAAAACCTGTTGGCTGGCATGTTGTAGAGGACAGATAAAGTGCTGTTTTTCTAAGATACGCTATGAGGGTGGGTTGGGGAGGTAGTAAATTAGAACATACATTATTAACAGTATAATTTCCAAAACCAGCCAAAGCCTGTTAAAGCGAGATATTGGTGTGGTTGCACTTTGGACGGTTGTTTTTTTGAAAAAGGGTTTGGGGCAATAGCTGGCGAGTACTAGCGCCCTTTACTTTGCCATGCACACTGCGAGCACCATGACACAGTGTAAATACTTGATGCCAACGACCAGCCCAGTACAATCAACACCTGAGCTTTTAGAACAGTTCTTCATTTTACTGCAGATTATAATAGCCATATGCACTTGCTTAAGAAATAACTTTCAAGATTATGCTTATATATATATTTTTGAAAATGTTAACGATAGCTGTGCCATGTTAAGTTTTTAATTTATTGGCTGGGAGTGACACGCAGTCATCTGTGATTGGTTGACAATATTCCCAATTCAATTGGCTGGCAACCGTTTTAGAGATTGAGTCGTTTAAGGACCTATAACATGGCAACAGCTCTACCCAGTCAAGCAGACAGGGGTTGCACAACGGCCTACAAATCGTTGAGGCTTTGTAAAAACGAAATACAATCTGCACTACCCATCATATTCCATCACATTTAATCAGGCTGATAACATACATTTCCCTCTCCCCCTGCTCTCTCCCTCTACCTCAACCTCCTACTTACATCACCCAAATTGGTTCTCGTTAGCACATTAAATGCAATGTCGACATTGCCAAAATAGTGTGGGTTTGACAAATGAGCTAGCCCTCAGAGTGCAAGTGCAGTACCCCCTCACTGGTGCGAATCAAAGCTGCAGAGGTCCCTCTGTGTTGTACCTGTGTGTGTGTGGTGTGTGTGTGTTGTGTGTGTGTGTTGTGTGTGTTGTGTGTGTGTGTGTGTGTGTGTGTGTGTGTGTGTGTGTGTGTGTTGTGTGTGTGTGTGTGTGTGTGTGTGTGTGTGTTGTGTGTGTGTTGTGTGTGTGTGTGTGTGTGTGTGTGTGTGTGTGTGTGTGTGTGTGTGGGAGAGAGCTGTGTGTGTTTGTGTCTGTGTGCCAAGCTACACTGTATGCAAGTTGAATCTTTAAAAATGATTGTTTTAAGACATTCACTTTGCCCCATCCATGATGTTGGTGGGTGGAGGTTGGAAATGTAATAATGATGATGTACAATCTTTTTGTGTGTATAAACGTGCACTGTGAAAAGGTAGAGAGAGCACCGCACTGTCAGAGTCCTCTGTCTTATTGCACTGAGTGTTCTCTTGTTTTACGTAATAAAAAAGAAAAGGAAAAAACATGTTTGAGGAAAAAAGTACTGTATTCTGATTGTCACTTGGGTTCTGTTGAGAGAAATAAATAAATATGAACTTGAAACCCGCTATGGAAATCTGTTTCCTGTTCAAATTATTCATTTTATCCCATCTTGGGACTTTTGCATGAACGTTGTTGTCTTTACCAGATTTTTGAAAGCTATCGAACTCTGAATGACTTGTACTGTAGTGTTAAAAACTTTTTTGAAATATTTAATCCAGGAGCACATTTTAGATGATGAAGGAAAGGTCTTCAGAATGTTTATGCTAAATGACTTGTCTAAAGTGGATTGTTTCAAAAATATTAAAGTACAGCAGCAGGATCAAACATTTGTATCATAAGAATAACACCTCCTTAAAATAATGACAGAAAAGGAATAAAGTAACAGGAATAACATATAAAAGATTTACAGATAAATGATACTGTATACAAATTACAAACCTGGACTATTTGTCACTAGATGTCCTCAAATATAATCTATCCATACCTCCTAAATCTTATCCTAGTTTTGGAATTCTGTATCCTGGGATTTTTGCATGTATGTTGTGGTTGTGTTCTCCAATTCTCGAAAGCTATTGAACTCTGAATGACTCATAGTGTCGATACTTTAACAAAATATTTAATAGAGGAGCACATTTTATATGATGAAGAAAAGTCTTCAGAATATTTATCCTAAATGACTAATCTAAAGTGGATTATTGCAAAATGTTTGAAAAAATATCACTCGTCACCGGCTTGAGCTTCAATATCAGGATACATGTATTTATTATCCTTGCAAGAATGGAAGTAGTCATCACATAGATGCTTATATACAAGAGAGGGTGTTACAGTCACAAGATGCAGGAATATTGGTTCAAAGCCGTATACAATGTTTACTTTTAGATTAGCTAAGACCCACGTCAGAAATGATCATGCTTGTCATATGTCTATCTCCATAGAGGCTGAATCATCATGTTAATCGTTGTCACATAGCTATCATATGCCTAAAACAGTGTGTCCTGACGCTCTTCCAGGTAATCATACATCCTGTTACGTACACAGCTACAGTTGGGCCTTTGTTATCATGTGCTACTCTGATATTGGAAGAGTACACTCAGTATTTTCCCAACACAAAATATTCAGTTACATCAGCAGTATCAAACATTTTCATCATTAGAAATAGCACCTCCTTAAAACAAAAATAAATGAATACATTTATAGCAACAACATATAAAAAATATACAGATACAATTACGGATTATTTGTAACTAGAAGTAATCAAATAGAAATCTATCTAAAAGTCTAAATTGTAATCAGTATTTTATTTTGACAGTGAAATGGTTTGTATTATTAATGTTACAACTTAAAGTGAAGAAGTCCTTTACTGTGCTCTGAGGCAGACGTGACACTGACTGGACTTGCGCCGCTGTTGGTCCGCCGCCTTGATGGTGCCAGGCCTCTGGGTGATAAACTGTTCTGTTGGACTAACAGTAGTCAGCCAAAAACTGTAGAGGTTGGCAAAGTAGTGACAGGACCCGCGCGCACCCTGGCACTCTATGAAGGGGTGAGTTCGGAAATCCTTAAGGCAGCTGCCAGACGAAGAAAGAGACTGGCCACCACCCTCATCACCGGCCCCTGTGTGCTGAAGAGAAAAGGGAAGCAGGTACACAGTAGGTAAATTGATAGTATTTTCTTCCACACACACACTTAAAGGTCCCCTATTATACAGTTGTTCATCAATATATTATAGGTCTCAGATATATACAAAACATGTCTCTGAAGTGTTTGGCTACCAAACAGATCATGCATCGTACTGTAGCATCCCATAAACCCCTCTGTTTCAGCCCTGTTTCAAAAGTGCTGATTCTCTGTCTTTTACTTTAGATGAAAATAAGGTGCCACTCCCCACGCCCCTCTGAGAGATATTTGGTTAAAAGGAACACAATAGGCGCTTTCACACCGGAGTACTTTTCCCAGTATATTTCCGATATAGTTCCGAAAATGTGCGTTCACACCAAAAAAATCCGGAACTAGAACTTAGTTCATGAAAACCTTTTCACCCCCTTTTCAGTCCCTGCTAGAGAGCAGGTACTTTCATGGGAGAAAAAGGTTCCCATTTCCAGTGGCGTTTTTATATGTACAAAAGTGGTGGGGCACAAAAAACGTAGATGTCTATATATAAGCTTCTGCAGTGACGTGCAGTGAGGTTCATGGCTGGTGAGGCACTGGCACTGACTCTTCAGGTTTACAAATATTATATTTTGACCTAAACCAAAATATAATATTATTTTCAAAAGCTTTTTTTGTCTGATGCTTCGATTAATTTTAAACAGACAGTTCAACAAAAGGATACCCAAAAAATGTAATTTTATCATTTAAATATTGAATTGTTCTCTCTTAGTAAGATCCCATTTTCAATAAAATTGCGGTCTTACCTTGACTTGAAGATGAAGTCCATTTGCCTATCCTTCTGGACAAACATTTCTATTACTTTTTTGTAAAAGTCCTCCTTATCTTCTTGTAGTTTCAAAAGTCTATCATAAATCTAATCCATAGATTTATGATAAAAAAAGTATAAAAGTAGGGTAGACATGTGGATGTTATCCGGCTAATCAAAACGTGCATTTATCTAACAGGTACGTTTCCCACAGATCTTATTTCGAGCTATTTTCTAAAATCCTATGGAGAAATCTCATTGCTTTTTTGTGCTTACTTCCTGGTTTTAGGACGCGCCACTGCAGCTCTCTCGTCTCCTCTTCAAGCACCACACTTTTTGCGGCACACGTACTTACAGCCAATCAGCTCTGAATGATTTGAGATGACGTATGGTGGGGATGGTAGCTCCGTGCCCCTCTGGTCATAATTTTTTTGCCACACACATTACATTACAAAATACTCTGAGCATGCGCAGTGTAGTTTTTACAGTCACCGTTCACTTCACAGCGAGAGGAAGGGGCATAATCAGGTTTTGTCCCACATGGCTCTAAACAGCTCAATAGGCACACACTGTGACTGTAGACACACTAATTAGAAGAACACAGACTAAAACAGCAATGTACAGACGAATCAGATGATTAAACATGATCTTAAAATATATTTTATATATTTTTTTATTTATTTTTTTGCATTTTTGTAATCATTATTTGTAATACTTTCTGCTGACACTAGGTGGGGCTGTGCCCCACCTGCCCCTAATGACCAGTCGCCACTGCCCATTTCTGATTGGCTGGGCGGATTGCAAACCACGCCCTGTAAAACTCCCAAAAAGTTTTGTGAAGCCGCCATTTTATTTTCCTCGCATTAGCATTATTAGCATTAGCCCAGCGCACAAACGGAGAGAGACTAACTTATGGCTTTACCTTGGTTGGTTATTGGCTAATTGTTACACAAGCCAAAAAATCGTTATGACATCATAAAGTGGCCAAAATCTTCAATCATCGATTTTGACCATGAAAAAGTGGATTTTGCATAATAGGTGACCTTTAACAAATATTGTCACACTCACATGGAGGAAAGAGTATCCCGTCCACAGGCTCCTCCAGCCACGTGGGCATGAGGGGACGTTGTGATCCTGGCTGTGAAAAGCCACTGCAGGCGCAACAGTCTCACACACCGCACAGCGACTGATGTGGGAGCTAATCTCCTGGCCGAAGAGGGGCATCATGGGTATGGGAGCGGTGGTGGAGAGCCAATAGGATTTGTCGTTGCGACTGGAGTAGTCGCAGGCAGCTTTGTTGCAGTATGAGAAAGGCATGGTGGAGAAAACACGGAGACAGGAGCCAGCCTGGCCTACAGGAAGAAGATGTTAAGAAGAGAGACAGAGAATAAAAGAGGCAAATAATAACACATACACTCAGACTGATGCATTCTTCCAGCAAAACTATCACTTTATGCAGACACTTACCCAGGTCTTGAGTGTGAGCCTTCTCTTGCCCCTCCAAGTAGACCAGACTGTAGCCGACCCAAAGCGGGCTGCTGCCTTCAGGGCACCGTGGCACCTGAACTGACTGACTGTGGACAACCAAAAGGTAGCCTGACCTCAGCGCCCCTCTATGGCCTGGATTACCTTGATCACCGGGTGTACCTGGGATACCTGGAGCAGTTTAACAAGCAGCAAGTTAGTGACATGGAAGGTGGATAGGAGTTAGGCAGCGATTACATTTGCTGTTTATTGGAGGAAGTCATTTTGATATGTAATTTTTATAACTTTTTCAGATCTTCAGAAGGAGACTGGCAGTCATCAGCACATTGTATGTCAACACTATAAATGACACTTCAAACTTTTGATTTGGGACAGTTCTAAATGGCTGCATCTTATAATTTACCTTGAGGTCCAGTAAATCCTTGCTGACCAACGTCTCCTGGGTCTCCAACAGAACCATCACGACCAGCAGGACCTGGTTTGCCAGGGAGGCCAACATACCCTACAGGACCCTTCAGTCCTGAAGCACATACAGACACATACAGACAAATGAGGATAAACACACACAACACAGATTTATTCAGACCATCATATGTAAACATGAATTATACATTAAGAATATATTAGACATTCTTGCCTTTACGTCCTGGCGTCCCAGGAGGACCTGCATCACCGGGATATCCCACAAATCCTGGGACTCCACGCGGTCCCAGGAGTCCAGGTGGAGCCCCACCTTGGTCGATTCGGATGGAACCACCAGGAGCACCTTTGGCACCTTGGAAAAAGAAAAAAAAAACATTGATTACCAGATGTACTACTGTAACAAACACCACAACACTCACTAGTGTTTAATGAATAATACATATTTCTAAACGAATAAAGGTAAAACACAATATGTAAAGAATCTTACAACTTTTTAATGTAACTTAAATACCGTCAGTCATTGAAACATAAACGCACACACACACACACTCACATTTAACAGATGTCTTCACCAGATTGTGTGGGCATAGAAATAATGGCATACCTCTTTGCCATTTAGTTGCCACTTACCTGTTGCCCCAGTTGGGCCAGTTGCTCCCTTCCGGCCCCAAGGCCCAGGGACCCCGGTCTGACCCTTGGGGCCTGGAGGACCTTCGAGACTAGCAGGTCCTCTCTCACCTGTCAAAGTGCAGCACCATTTTGCGTGCATTTAAGTGGATGGCAACACAGTAAATACTGATGGCAGCAGCAATGCACCTACACAGGAAATATTGGTGAGTATTTTTTCCAGAGTAATTACTATTTTGCTCTGAAATAGTGATATTTAATCATTTTGGAGTGTATTTATTACTCATAGCTTCTAGAGTGCGATCAAAAATGCAGAGTCAATTCTATTGGAGTTAAACCATGACCACTCTGTAACGGAGGTGATCTCTGGGGCCATTGATCTCGGTCTCCGTTACGGATTATATAGCTTCATTATTGGCGAAGTATATTAATTTGTTCCACGCTAAAATATTGCACAGGAAGCATGTGAATCTATGTCATTTATGCATATATTAGTCACGATCTGTCTATGTTTTAGTTTGTCTGTCTCTGTTTCCTGTTTTAGTTTGAAAAGTGTTCCCCCTCCCGTCTTGTCTGTTGCTGGTGATTGTGTTCACCTGGTGCCCTGTGTTGTCTCCTCCCTCCTCACCTGTGTCTTGTTGGTTTGATTAGTCCTGTGTGTATTTAGGTTCTGTTTTCCTGTTAGTGTGTGTGTGTGAGATCCTTGGTGCTGGTGACTGTGTTCACGTGAGACAGTCATATTGAGGCTGTATCCTGTACCACAAAGAGGAATAAATGCCCACACCGGGTTGTATTTGAACTCTCTGCCTCTGCCTCCTTGCTTGGTCGGGCCGCTCAATGGTCAGCTTCACACACGCCCACTCATGTTCCTTAAGCACTTTGGTTTATTGACCTTTTTTATTGTAAAGATCATTATGGTTCATTTATTCTATTCTGAGTCAAATAACCTTCTATTGGGAGTAAAATTACCTTCTAGTTGGAGTGAAATTATCTTCCATTATGAGTAAAATGGCAGTAGAGTTGTTTTTAATATACACTACATAGAGTAAATAACCATTAAGCAGAGTCAAATCTAAGCACATAATAGAGTAAAATGAACTCTAAAAATACAACTCTGAACAAAGAGTACATTTTACTCTATATAGGTTGGGACCAAATGTAATATTTTTAGAGTCAAATTTTCTTCAATTTGAGTCAATTTTACTCAGAGAAATATACTGTGTAGTATACCTTTTGGCCCTGTAACCCCTGGGTAGCCCTGTAACCCAGGAGGCCCTGAGGGGCCACCATCGCCCTTGCGGCCTGGTAACCCAGGGAGGCCGGTTGGACCTGGTTCTCCTTTGGAGTGAATGCTGCTGCCTGGAAGGCCCGGCTCCCCAGGAGGGCCTAAAAACGCAACACAACAGCCCAATTAAAGACAAAAAGAAAGGTACACCTACACTTAAACATAAACCTCCTAACAGTGTTCATTCCCAAATGGGGCCACACAAAAATGGAGACAGAGATAAACAAATGGACAGATATAAATAGGTACACAGAAACACACCAGGAGGTCCTGGGGGTCCTTTATATCCTATGTCCCCGTTGGGTCCTGGTAGAGGCCTGAAGCACTCTATGCCAGGGTTCCCAAGTTCACCTGGGGAGCCTGGAATACCTGAGGGAACAAACAGAGAAAAGTGTATTGTAGAGGAATGGGACAGTAAATACATTCAACAAAAAGCAAATATAGTGCCAGAAAGTGCTAACAAAAATGTTTGTCTCCAACAGTTCATTTTCCACCACTATCATAAGCAGATGCAGACATGCAGTAGATGATGTAGAAATAGATATTTGATACCTGTGAAGCCAGATGGGCCTCTCTGGCCTTTAGGCCCAGGAAAACTGGCTCCTGGAGACCCTTGCTGTCCCCTGACACCTTTGACTCCAAGAAGACCATCTGGTCCAGGAGGGCCAGGGAAACCTATGGCTTGAGGCAATAAACAAGGAAATTATTAAAGGATTGTTATGTTCTCAACAGTGTATAATTGCTTTGTTTTTTGTTAGCTTATGTGTATATTCAAATATGAAGGGCTCTGCTACATGGTACGCTCTAGAGAGGGCCTTCCATGTTTAATTTGAAGTGGCAGCTTTAGGTGGTGTGTCTGCACCTATAATACTCTTGTAGGTTTTCTAAACACTTGAAACGGGAGGTATTGGTAGTGGTGATAATTGCTGGGGTTGGGGTATGAATGAAAAGGTATACGGTATAGCTAAAATTATGCTTTAACAATTTATTGTGTGTACTATATACTACATGCACAAAAAAGTATACCAACAGATAAAATAAATACAAAGAAATGATTGCTTTACTATATTTAAAGTTATGACGAAACTCATTCTTACCACTCTCGCCTTTTATCCCTTTTGGACCTCTAAGCCCATCCAGTCCATCAAGACCAGGTGGTCCAGGGGTCCCTTATATAAAATGCCAGTAAAACAAAAGAATACTCTTATTAGGTTTTTGGCATGCACATATTAGAACCCCATACACACTGAAATAAAGCAAAGTGATTATATATGAATTGTGCTAATATAAGCCAACACAAATAACGCTTACATTGCCTGTACCCTGCCCATCCCATGTTAAAAAACAATGTTAGTACCTGGATGCCCATATGGGCCAGGTGGGCCAGGTGGTCCCAGACCTCCATGATCGCCTGGCAGACCTGGAATACCTGGACGACCTGAAGAGCCACGAGGCCCGGGGAAGCCTGAGACACACACATAAAAACGTCCCAACCATCATGTAGCATTCCTTACTTTAAGGTCGGAAATAAGCAGTGTTCCTTCATTTCTACCCTCATGCAGTACATTACACTCACACCCAATGTTTCAGGTACACCTGTCAACTGCTGGTTAATGTGCCAAAAGCATCATTTGCTGCCACCTAATTGGCTGATTGGATTGTGTTAAAGTTGCCGGGTGTGCCTCCAAAAACATACATACATACAAAATACCGTTTTTATTTACAAAAACAGCAGTTACACAAAATCAATACAATAAAAATAAGACACACACATACACACACACACACACACACACACGGCTGAAATAAAGATGCACTGTGGCAACATTAGGATTATAATTTCATTGACAAAATGGTAATATGTTTATACACACACACACACACACACACACACACACACACACACACACACACACACACACACACACACACACACACACACACACACACACACACACACACACACACACACACACACACCACACACACACACACACACACACACACACACACACACACACACACACACACACACACACACACACACACACACACACACACACACACACACACACACACACACACACACGCACACACACACACACGTAACATTCTCTGACATAAATTACCTGGTCCTCCTATTCTTCCCTGCTCCGCATTAATGCCAGGTGGTCCTGGTTGCCCTGACCTTCCCCGGGGTCCTGGGTCTCCTGGATCTCCTGGAATCCCTCTGGGCACTCAAGGGAATTATTGTGTGGATATACATTTAATTAAAGTTATACCTCCACTTAGAGTATAATATATTCTAGGAAACTCAAAACTTTATAAGATAGTGAAAGGGCAATGCCACACACTGGGGGCATCCTTGCTGCCCACCAGTGTGTGGTATTTTCTGTACTCACCACTCTGTCCATCATCCCCTCGCATCCCTTTGAGTCCAGGTGGACCAGGTTGTCCATAAGAGAGTCCTGGGTCACCTGGAACAGATTTGAGATAAGGTAAGAAATCCTGGGATTGTATTGGGCTTTAGAGTTTTAAATACTTAACTGCATCTGCAATTTGTATAGCAATATACTACAACATTTCTGATCAAAGTGGAAAAATACTAATGATCCATTCCGATGTTGATTCAGTTGTACACTACAAACATTTTCTCCATTACATGAAATTAGCCTCATCAGAATCATTGAATCATTATCTTTTGACTCACCTTTGGCACCTGGAAACCCTGGTAACCCTGAGATACCCGATGGTCCACAAGGCCCTTGATATCCCTTTAAAAGACATAAACACATGCATTCAAAATCACATCACTTCAGAGACTGACTTACAATGAATTATGATATGTTGAACCACTTATATTGTATGTGTTCTACAGGTAATTAAACATAAGACTAGCCCTTAACTTAATAAAAAACAAAATAGGAAAAACATGTTCACAGTGGGTGTGCGTTGCAGGATAGAATTATCAGAAATGATATGCTGCTGACATTTTATTTGAGTATATTCTGGATATATTTAAAGAAAAAACGGAATAAAGACAGCTGTTTCCAAAAATGATTAAGAGAAAAGATTATTTGTTTTGTGTACCGTATCTCCAAGGTGTCCAGCATATCCCCTTGGACCAGGGAACCCTTTGATTCCAGGGGACCCTGGAGACCCTGTTCTTCCTGCTCTACCTGGAGCACCGGTGCTGCCTCTAAACCCTGAAGAACCAAGCCATCCATCTGACCCCGAATCCCCTGGTGGTCCCCTCGGGCCCTTTGAGCCTGTTAGCACAGACAAAAATAATATTGTCGTAGTCCTATACTGTTTAACACAATCTTAAGTAAGTCTTTTTAATTGATCAACCTGGACTTCAAGGAATCATCTTCTTAATGTTTACAAAAGATGGATAAGTTAGATGTAAGCTTCCTTGCCTTCAGGTCCTTGTTCTCCTTTTTTCCCCTCACTTCCAGAAAGTCCTGGTTGGCCCTTTATTACATTCAGAATCAATATAGGTCCTGGTAATCCTGGTAAACCACGTACACCTGGATGGACATCAGAGTTATAACAAAATGCCAATAAATATATCTATAAGAAGCTATGATATTCAAATGGAAACTTACCTTTATTACCAGGCTGTCCTGGGTATCCAGGGTCCCCTGTGTGACCGGTAAAGCCTCTCTCTCCTTGTTTACCCCTGGGCCCTGCAGGTCCAGGACGGCCTGGCAAACCTATGGACACAAGCATGCCTGGGTACCCACTTTCCCCTAGATGAATTGAAAGGAAAGCATAATTTAATTCATAATAAGGACGGACTATTTTCTATATATAAAATATTGCTGAAAAAATTGGATTGGGTTTTAGTGAAGAAGTTTTTGTTATTGAATTCGGGGGATGAAATCTATATTTGGTCAGTGACATATTTTAACAGCTCCGACTTGGAGTGTGATGATGGTAATGTGGGGATCAGATGTTGGTTATACTTTTGGTGTCTGGAGGTAGTGTGTACATAGGCACAGGTACAACTTTGTATGTGTGGATGGTGTAGACAATGTACGAAAAGCCTGTCAGATTTTGAAATGATTAAAGACACCGTGATTTCTCCAAAACCATCCTATCATTCTAGGTCAGTGGTTCACCTTTCTGTCCTGGCCAGCCGTCAGCCCCAGGCTCTCCTGAGAGGCCATGAGGGCCTCTTGTTCCAACCACTGACAATCCAGGAGAGCCAGGGAAACCTTTTGGACCCCTCAGTCCATGACCAGGTGGACCTATATCTCCCTTCAAACCCTTCTGACCAGGAAAGCCTATGCAACATTTTACAATTCAAAGAGAGAATGTGTTAATGGATGGTTAGATGGTGGCTTCACAACTAGTCATTCATGAATGTACAATTAATATAAGTTTGACATTACTAGGGGACATAAAGATGGACACCCAGAGAGACAGAGAAACAAAATTATGCTTGCTGCTGCTGTGTGATCACCTGGTATCCCCCTCTTTCCAGTGTCTCCTGTAGGGCCTGGAGGGCCTGGAGGTCCATTCAGTTCAAATGCAGTGCAAGGTGGGCCTCGGGGACCAGTGGCCCCAGGGTCACCACTGGATCCTGGCTCTCCTTTCCATCCAGGTGATCCAGGCAGGCCTTGTTCCCCTGTAATTACGAGGCATCAACGTTGAACCAACCAACTCCAATGCACAGATTAGAATGGGAAGTACACTGTAACACTGTACTCTTTTTGAGTGAAATAGGCCAAATTAACTGAAGCCTACATTGTTCTGTGGTTTGTTTGTGTTTACCTAAATAGAGATACAACTTACCTGGAGGCCCTGGGATTCCAGGAATGCCCCGTAGTCCTTTCTTCCCCAGAAGCCCAGGGAGGCCAAGTGGTCCAGTATCACATGGCCTGGCAGAGAAAACATCGCCTGGCTCACCCTTCCTGCCTGGATGTCCGCGAAACCCAGGAGTGCCTGGAGGGCCAACCAGGCTAATTACGCTGGAACCAGGTTCACCTGGATCCCCATCTAAACCTTGAAGTCCTATAAAAAATAGAGACCTATTAGCGCACAAATCACCCACTCTAACTTTATAGTCAATCATTACCTGATTGTTGTCTGCAGTGTGGATGCAAAACTTTAAACAGGGGCTCTCCAATGAAGAACAATCTTTATAAAATTGTGTATGAATCTAATTTGACATTTTAGAGAGTTGTTACCTATCCGTCCAATCCCACCAGTACTAGTGTAATCTCCTTTCATGCCTTTCGGGCCTGGGTGTCCCAGAGTTCCTGGAGGACCAACTCTTCCTGGCTCACCTGGAATACCTACAAAGAGCCAAAGAAAATGTGCCTCGCAACATGGACCACAAACGTTTCAAGGGTCCTAAGCCATTCCTTTTAATGACATGTGACTTGTCAACAAACAATATAGCAACCGCCTTTGACAGAAAGATGTGATTTTTGCATTGACAATGTTTTTTAATCAATTATATGATGTGGAACAACTGTAAGACTTACCCGGTGATCCTGGTTCACCATCAGGACCCGGTAGTCCAATCTCATAATTATGACAGCATAACCCATTTTCACCTTGGGACACAAATGCAACATACTTGTTGAGTCCCTGACACCTGCTGAAGGGGTTCATTAACACCAACGGAGAATCTCTGAAATCAGGTATCTGACCTGGAGGGCCTGGTCGTCCAGGAATTCCTGAGGGGCCATGACTTCCCTGATAACCCTTAGGTCCATGGAGCCCCATAGGGCCTGGAAAACCAGGTCCGGGGGGGCCAATAGGACCTTGAAACCCTTTGGGTCCAGCAGCACCAGGGTACCCTTTGGGACCAGGTAACCCTGCAAATCCAGCACCCTGCAAAAATGTTACCCAACACCATAACTGCACAACCAAAACCGAGTGTAGCAAATTGAAAATAATGTTCTAGTTCAGAAATAATAATGTACAGCACTTAAAAAGGTGCACACTCACTGGTGTTCCAGGGTCCCCTGCAGGGCCAGGGGGGGCATCCCTTCCTGATCCACCTGATGCTCCAGGAGGACCAGAATGGCCAGGGTCTCCTAGGTCACCCTTGGCACCTATCAACAACAACAATAAAATGATGATGATTACAATGTAGGCTATCAATTCTTAACAACACCTGGTATAGGCATGTATATCAATCAATGTTATCAAAAGACAAATCCAACCAACTTTTATTTCAAGCTACTGTTGACATAGATGTTGCTGATGTTTCCAAGCATTTAAAGTACGTATTCACTTTGCTTGTCCAATAATATTGTGTATAGGACAGGTTCTCACCTTTAACGTCTGACACAAAAGAGTGACCTTTTTTACCCTTGTGTCCTTTAATACCAGGAATACCTGGAAAGCCCTGCAGAAAAACATAGTCAAATACAAAACTACACACTACACTTTAATTATGAGTTTGTTTGTTTTCCTACTGTCCTTACTTCTGGTCCTCTTGGACTGTCATGTCCTTTTAGCCCAGGGTCTCCCTTAAGTCCTTGAGTTCCAGGAATCCCTGGAGAACCTGGAAAACCAGTTGGACCGGTGGGACCTTCTCTTCCTACTCCTCCAGACCTACAGTTACATTCCCCTAGACAACCTGTAGAAGACAGAGGGACACAATGTATGACTAAGATGCAGTGTTTGCATATTCTGTACTGTTATACCTACTGAATTCTATAACATTCTTGTTTCTACCAGAGGTCAGTAGGCGGGGAGAATAACAATCTGCTTGTAGAATCAATAAAGAGTCAGAGATCACCTTTAATTCCTTTGAGTCCTTTGTTTCCACCGGGGCCATTATGGCCTGGATCACCTGGGTCCCCTGGGTAACCAGGCTCACAGTAGTAATCTGTATATCAACCAGATACAAGTATTGATGAAGTTAAAAACTTAAGGAAGCATTTCAAATGCAAACAATTATGGACTTTTTTAGAGAACTCACCTCCACATCCTGTTCAAGAATGCCACACACACACACACACACACACACACACACACACACACACACACACACACACACACACACACACACACACACACACACACACACACACACACACACACACACACACACACACACACACACACACACACACACACACACACACACACACACACACACACACACACACACACACACACACACACACACACACACACACACACACACACACACACACACACACAGAGAGAAAAGGTAAGTAAATCTTCAAAATAAAACATCAAAAACCTAGCTTAAAAAATAATGACACAAATTAATTTACACGTATATATTTACTTACACATAGTGTTTGTTTAATATAAACAAAGTATTGATATACCTGGAGGCCCCGGGGAGCCTGTGACACCTTTATGCCCGAGGAGTCCTTTAACTCCCTTTGGTCCCGGATATGGATTATCATAGTTGTTATACCTTCCTGGCTCTCCCTTGTACCCCTTGGGACCGAGGATCCCTTGTTGACCAGGCAGCCCAGGCACTTCTAGTAGGGTGTGAAAGACGATGTGAAACTGACAATAAGGTAGCATCAACACTGACTGACTGAGTTTTTAACTGTCAGGATATACTGTATATAAAGTGCATAAAGTCAGCAGTAACTGGAAAGTGAGAAACCAACTCTGACCTGGTATTGTTAACCCTGGTGAGCCAGGAGGTCCATGCATGCCCATGTGCCCAGGGTCACCTGGGTGTCCAGCTAATCCAGGACTCCCATTGTCACCTTTAACACCTAAGCCGTGCAAACACAGAAGCATGAAAAAGTCAGTAAGGCTTAATTACTGTCCTAAATATTGTGTTTGTTATTGTCTCATATTCGAAACTGTTTGTATATACACCTTGTTTCTGATAGTTATATTCAGTCTTACTCAGAATCAGAATACCTTTATTAGTCCCACAGAGGGGAAATGTGCATTGTTACAGCAGAAACTACTAGGATGCTTTTAAAAAATATGTATTGTTACTGACATAATTCAATTTGACTACATGATGAGGATGAGTGTTTCAAAGTATAGTTTAAGGGGGAGTATACTCGATGCATTCCACTTGCATCTACAGTGACAGTGTGAACATTGTTTTGCCAATATGCTGAACTCATATTGGTCAAATCAGAAAGACTAACGTTGTTAACTATTGGCCTTTAATTCAATAAATAATTTCCTATTCATATTTCAAATAAAAGACATCTAATAAGACATTGCTTCTATTGTCCAAAAATAGTTCAATCAGTATGAAGAGTGTAGCTTCAGCTGTCGTCTCACCTCTGGCATCACTTCCATTGGGCAATTGCAGGAGACCTGGGGGACCTGGGTGACCTGGATCTCCTTGGTTACCCTGTTGGATGCAAAGACAAAGACAGAAACCATAGTTATAAATAGAAAATGCCACTGATGTACTGTAGATAATATGGTGCAAATGTGACACTAAGTGACCACCAGAGGGCCACAGTTCTTCTTTAGTCTGTTCCTATATTTGAAGAACACTTTTAATTGTAAGTGGAACAAAAGTATCACAAAGATACTGCTAAAATAAAAAATAGATTCCTGTCAATATCAGACTTTACCCTCGGAGTAGATGTTTAATATATGAATATACATTTTACAAAACATTGGCTACTGTTTGCACCTAACGTAAGCTTTTTTAATTTTGTTCAAATTGTAATGCACATGTCTTTAATGTTTATCGAACGCTTACCTTTGTTCCATTCCTTCCAATGAGTCCTGGAAATCCTTTCTCTCCATGGACACCCTGAAAGTATGTATCAATGTATTTAACCTAGAAATTGCAAACAAATACTAACATAGGGAAGGGTTAGTCCTCCTATTAAAGATTTACCTCAGGTCCGGGAAGTCCATCTCTAGCAGGCAATCCTGAAAGACCCTACAGATGGAAACAATGGAGTGAATATTGTATGTGTTGTCTAAAAGCATGTTGCAGTGTGATTTGAGTCACAAACCCTCAATCCAGGAAAACCGGGGATTCCTTGCTGTCCTTTCATTCCTTGAATGCCGTAGTCTCCTATACCGCCCTGATAAGAAACAAAAATGAAAATAAAACAACTTTCTCTTTCTCTCAGACACGTGTATGCTGACATTTTAACTCACTCTTATGCCCTTTGGTCCACATGGTCCAGAAGGACCTTGCTCTCCCTGAGAAGCAAGAAAGAAAATAAAGAAAAATATTTTATTTTTATACACATCTATGCAGTAGTTAAAATGCATTAGTCTTGTAAAATCACAAATAAGAGCTTTGATGTCACCTTGTAACCTTTGGCTGGAAGAATTTCTAGAGGAAATTGTTTGGATTCTTCTTCTCCGTCCGGGCCAGGTTGGCCAGATGGGCCTTGTTCCCCCTGGAATATCAAGTGGTGAAGATGATTACTGGTGTTGTAAGCACACACACACGCACAAACACACTCACATCACAAAACCTTGGCGCATAGCTTTGAAAGGCCATAATGGTTTCTTACAGAGTCACCTTCAGCTCCTGCCAGAGATCCTCCGGTGTCACCCTACACAACAATCAAAAGTATAGAAAAGTTTAATGGATGTGTGTTCATGCACGTGTACGTTTCTTTATTTAAGAGCAATTATTGGCAAATATTGTGAAAAAGGTGACTCACTGGCGGTCCTCTCACACCTTTTAGTCCATCCAAACCCTAAATGGAATCACACATATACATTATTTTACCTGTGCATTTATTTTTGTAAATTAAATCTTGAACTATAATGGTCATAATATAATTCTGCTTACCATGCATGTTTAGTAATATAATGTTCTTTAATACAACCTATATACAAACAACTTATTTTCACCTCATATCCATTATCGCCACGACGGCCAGTGCGTCCACTAGGTCCAATGTCTCCTTTTTTTCCCTGATTTAGAAACAACAATACAATGTTAAAGAAAGTAAACATGAAGTAGAGTCAGTTAAACTATAAGCCCATTGGGAAATTGAAAGCATTCAGTTCCTGCCTAATTTCTTAGCAAAGAAGGGCTTGGAGGATTCTACGTTTAGAATATTACAAGGGGAATACTGAATTACTGTCAAAATGAGAAAACATAACATACAGGTTGACCATGTTGTCCATCTCTACCATGCTCCCCCTGTAGGATAACACAAAATACATTTGAGAATGATGAACAGACAGTGGACATTGCAAACACTTATGAAACTGCTGAAACAGAAATGCGTTTTGAAACTTGTGAAGCCCAGTTTGTTATTATAAGAGCTTCTCAAAACTAAGGGAATTTACCGGATGTCCAGGAAGGGCAGCCCCATAGACAGGTTCTCCTTTAATCCCTTTATGTCCATGTAAACCCTAATAAGAAAACACAATACATGTTAACAGTAGACACATTACAAGCAATAGCCAGGAGGGTTAAAATTACATACACAGTATTCGTTGTTAATACTTAGTTAAACAAATCACTGGGAAGTTAATACAGGATAATGTGTCCAAACCTTGAATTATGTTCAGTGAGAACGTTTGTCAAAATTCAGGTCTTCAATTAATTATTGCTACAAAAGCTGCATCTGTTAAAGTGACCTGCAGTTTTTTAGGAAAATATCACTGTGATTTAAACATTTAAAAAGCTAACTGCTGATGGGAGACAGGGCACAAACTCGGGCCTCTTGTCCTCATGTCCAACCACCACGAGACCTTCACAACCATACTCATCTACGTATGTGCAATTTTAATGTGACACAAATGTATGCTTTGCCAGGGAATCTGAACGTGGGTATTGAAGGTAAATTGTGTGCTTCACAACCATTAACGCAGGATATAACTTCTGGGGATTTTTCATATTCTAGCCATTTGATTTTCTGCATAACTTTAGTGAACCTTACGTTTTGTCGAAAGGCTTAAGATAGACATCTGAAAGACAATATAATGTTCAAATAATCGCAATAACAGAAATATCTGATGAGGAGTTTTACTCGCCGGTTGCCCATGGAGACCATCAAAACCAGGAATACCATCGACTCCTGGTCGACCCCTTGTCCCGTTACAGCCATCAGCTCCCAGCAAACCAGGCTCACCGCCTGCTCCAGGGTGACCCTGAACAATAGATGTAATATATATGTAAACCATACAAATATTAGAAGGCACTATTATGAACTTCTTGACCTTTCGTTGAAACCATGAAGAAATTATGCTTAATGCCTATAGTCAGGCCTATAGTTAATCCATAATATTTTCCAATAACATAATGGTTAAAGATGAACAACTTGAGTTTTTTTTCAAACACTTAATTAGTGAAGAGACAGCTGCATCAGGCATAAACACACAGGCCAACATCTACAGAATGTCATGATGTCTCCACTAGAGGGCATACCAGACACAACCTTAAAAATCACTGCAGCATTTACATTTAGAACTTAATATTGTATTCTAAATGTATAAACAATTGGAAATTCAAGGTTCAGGAAATTCAAATAAACAACACCATAGGTTTACTCACAGGTGAGCCATCATTACCAGTAAAACCAGGGACACCAGTCTTGCCCTGAAATGTAAAACATATGTGGATTAATTAATTCAGGTTTAGATTGCATTATTGCCTCCCAAGCCATTGTTGTGATGGTTGGTTAAAGTTTGAAGCATCATCTGCCTTTCTGTTTCTTTATGAAACAGAAAAAATGAACACTCACCCGGTCTCCTTTGGGCCCTTCTGGGCCAAATGCTCCCTCTGTTCCCCTCCTGCCTTTCTCTCCAGATGACCCTTGATGTCCCCATGGTCCCATTGGCTCCTTGGGCCCTTGCTGTCCCGCCTTCCCTGGAGCTCCCTACAAAGAGAAAAGTCATGTATACATTTTTTTTAACTTTGAACTTCTAATTGTTGATGTGAGTAATATTTGTTTCCTTTAGGATACAGGAATTGGTATATGGTGTTGCTTTGTTATTTACGTGTTTGACTTAAGAGTGCTAATGTTTGTCAAATCATGTAAACTAATCAATAACTGCTCCTCATTTTGAATAATTCGAAAAGAAAACACATTTACCATGAATATTTTCCACACTTGATTATCTCGCTTATTGAAATCTCTTACAATGAACATTAATAACCTTACTAGGAGAGTCATTGCCAATACACAACAAATTAGAAGATAAAGTTCATACCCGGGCACCTTTAGCAGGATTACACTGACACACAGAGCAGTCTCTGCCTTCGCATGGGCCATCAATGCTCCCCTGAAACAAAAAACATTGACAAACCATAGAGTGATTATTGCTGCAATGGGAGAGAGAGAGGGAGACTAGCTGAGGCTGTGTGTAGGCTATCTATGCAGAACAGAAGACAGTAGGGGTCAGGGCACATCAGTGGGCACATCAGATAAGGTTCTGGTTTGGGCATATCTGACATTCCTGAGTTTCAGCTGAGCTTTAATAGTAGCCTTGAGAATGACCACATCCCTGTGGAGACTGGACAGTCCTGATTAGATAGTTTTAAACAAATCAATGTTCTCACAGAGATTTGTGTTAATAATGAGCGCTCTGACCTTGATGAGAAAGAAAGCTCACATTTCTCAAAACTCTCTTGCTGAGAAACTGTTCTGTGAGTCTACATGTCCAGATGCTAAGTATTCCCACCAATATGTGTGTGTGTATACGGTCGGTTTAACAGTCTCTCCCACACAAACATTTAGTTATGTTTTCTCAAAGCATACCAAATATTTGGTTGAGTTTATGCTGGTGAAGTTCAGTTCTATCGCACATCTGCTGTCCCACTTTCTCTTTTGGTCCAAACATTTGATGACTATCTCTAGCATCAGTTGGCTAGTCCTGGATAGGCCATTTGGATTCAGTGCATATTGGGATCACATAGTTAGAAGTAATAACACTGGACGGGCTCTATTGCCCAGTACAGCTACAGAACCTAAAATTGAAGGTTACAACTTACTGCCCTCAGCTTGAAATACATGTCGAAAAATGTGTCACATTAAATGGTTTAAAAGTGTGTGAACACCTGTAATCATTTGCATATCAAAATACACAACATAGCTCTTCTGAGAAGGTTTGAAAGCCTGGTCAAATTCGTATTTATTTACAAAAAATGATCTATTTAAACCACATGCCTAACAGATAAGCATATACATAATTAAATTAAAAACTTGCCAGATATAGAAACAGTTGCTAAACCAAGACAAGACACTCGGTGTTTGAGGGAGGGATTTGGCGAACACTCGCGATAACTCGGTACCAACAGCAACACGAGTTTAAGGCACTTCAGTGTAAAGTAGCTTAAAAACTATTAAAATCTCATGGTACTCATGTTGGTTATAAGAAAAATAAACACGAGTTATATCCTCCCTTCGGTGGCTCAGAGGTAGGTTGTATACATTAACATCAGAGATGCGATTTTGGGAGGAGGGCAACAACGATAATTTAACTGGTTGTAGGTTAATGTAGGAGTTGATCCGATGCAAAGCTAGAAAGCTACACATTTGTACCATCTCTGTCTCTTATTTCCCACACAGTTCAACACAGGTGATAATCTGACTAAACTGGTTGGGAAGCAACACAGTGTAACGCTAAGAACTTGCTGTAATTAATCGAGTCAATTCATAATATCAAACAATTTCATGGGTTCAGATCAGGGATACAAGGTAGCATTTAGCCAAATTGACCAACCACACTTTATCCGAATGTTTAGTTTATCTTTAAAACAATATCCCGCGATGATTTTAAACTCAGGTAATTTCTTCAGAAGCCAGACCTTCAATTATCTGATGTAGGAGATAGTCCAAGTCGTTCAGTGGGATTGCAGTTTCTATTTTGACCGTATTATGACAGGTAATTACCTTTTCTATGCGTCAAATATCATTCATGCACCTGCATTGCCCAAGACTCTGGGCATGCGCATAGTTGCTTTCCCACACTGGAGGATACTGACAGGGACAATTTTCTTCTGTTGTGGATAAACTTTAAAAGAAAAATAGGATTAACACTGTTTCTTGACTGTTAGACTTATATTTTTGTTTGGCATTTTTATATTGTGATTTATTGTTACGTTTCAGCTGACATATAAACCAGTACTGATGCAGTAGGCCTATGCCAAGGATAATATCAGAACAGCCACTCATCGCTCTACCTGAAGTAAACGGTCTTTGTGTACACAAAACCCCACAAGCATTCCTGTGCTGGAAAGTGGAGGTTACATTATATAAAGACATACAGTACAGAGCCACACACACAGTTTCCAGGTGCATTAAGTGCATCAAGGATTTTTTTCTTCGAAACACTTGACTATAAAGCATCTGCATGTGGCATAACTCAAATGTTTACAGGTCATAAGTAGCTAGACTAGAAAGCTTCTTACACCCAGCGACATACTTTGAGGGCATCAGGTTCATGATCTTGGCCTTGAATTTATGGTTTGTTATTTTTGATGGCCTAAGCTACATTCCAGGCTACTGTAAGCAGCAGCAGTTTGTGCAAATATGTTTGCAGCCTACTTAAACTGCAAATGATGAATTTCAATATAATGCAGTCCAATTTAACATCCTCACAAAGTAGTCCCAACCAAAGCCCAACACAACACATCACATCAAAACAAATGTAATGTTCATGTCAGGGCTCCATTTCATCTTTGCAAGTTCATGTATTTCCCCCAGTGTACTTAAAACGCATGTTTAATCTATTGAGGCCCCAGCAAACTAAATAATTTAAACATAGTTTTGAAATCTGTTTTAGCTAAATCTGTGATCTGTGCTCATCCTTATATGTAGTCCTATTCAGTGCATATGTTGCCCCAATTGAAATTGTCTTTCCATTATTTAAAAATATATATATCACAACGTTTTGGCATGATTCATGGGATTACTGAATACAGTTTTGATAACAATAAATGTCTGCTGTCTCTTACAGTATTGTCGAATGTCTGAGTTTGGGTGGATTGCTGATAATTGTTTTCACAGCAAAATATTCATATACCTGTAGCACAGTATCTTCTATATAAACAATTGTCTGCACAGTTTATTTAGCAAATTAACCTTACATATATTATTAAATACAAGGATTTGAGATTGAAAGGTTGTCATAGTAGCTTTAATCTAAATTTGAATACATGTAATGAAAACTTAAAAGAAAAGCCTTACTGCATTGAGCTGCTGCACAATGATGAGGAGGACAAGGATCCACCTGTGGATGTAACAGTGGGTAAAGATTAGCTGTAGTCATTCTGCACATTTACAGAAGGAAAGTAAAAAAGATGTTGTCCACCAAAACTCTCATCAGACTACAGATGAGACCACAGAATGTAACTGTGTGTGTGTTCCTATACTGTAGTGGAGGTCAGGTTTTATACAGAGTTGGAACAGTATGCATGCAGATGTGTTTAATATCTCAGTAAACAAGCAGGAAATGTGTTTGCCTTCAGGTAAATACAGTAGGTTTACAAATTAGGGTAATTCCTTTAAAGTGAATGAGAAATACCTCATTGCATTTACTGTATCAGGGCTCTGTGATTTATACTGTATGCTCTGCAGATGAAGGTTTAATTTGTGACAAAAATATGATATATATATATATATTTTTTTTTTATATATAAAACGTTACTGAATCATTGTTGCCAGTGTTAAAGGTGGGGTAGGTAAGTTTGAGAAACCGGCTCGAGATACACTTTTTTTTTTTTTTCATCTGTGGAAGCCGTAGTACTGTAAAAAGCACAACCAATCATTTTAGCCGGCCCGGCTAAAATAACTTCCATCTGTGCACAAACTTATCTCGTGCCCTCATTGGTCATGTGCGCGTTCGTGTGTGTTGGAGGAGGGGCTCTGTAAGGAAGGGGCAGATTTGTTCCGGCTGTGTATTTTCAAATTCTAGCACACTCGAGCTGGTTTCTCCAAAATTACCTACCCCACCTTTAAACATAAAATAAAAATGTAAAAGACTTAAAAATACATTAATCAAGAATATCTGATGTTTATTAGTTGTAATCATCAGATAGATTCAAGATTCAAGGCTTTTATTGTCCTTTGTACATAGCTACAGTGTAGTTATGACAATGAAAATCTTAGGTCACAGGCTCTTCCAACAGTGCAACACAATAAAACAGATAATATTGCAAGTAAATAAAATAAAATATAATATAATAGAAATAGTGCAGAATAGTCCATATACAAATAATTGGAATATTGATATATAAGTTGCAACCAGATGAATGTTATGGATGTTCTTTCAAAAGTGCAGGTGTTTAACAGTCTTATGGCCTATGGTATGAAACTGTCCCTTCGTCTGGTGATATAGATATAGCTGCTGCTACAGATATTGATGATATGCGTGCGATATAGTTAACAACTTTATATAAATGTTGTTGTAGTGGGACTCACCTGAGGGGAGACAGAGTAACTACAGTAACTGAGGATCCCATCTTTCTTCTCTTCCGTCTGCTTCACAGGTGAGTGTTGGCCTCAGTGCTGCCCCCTGTGATGGATAATAGGAAGCATGAAACACCTGTGAGCCGGATGATATTATGTGACAGTAAAGAATAACATTCTTTTGAGGTAGAAGGTAGTACATGTAATTATGATTTAAAAAATATCTATTTGCTACTGATAAAGAAATTGTAGGTGTGAGACTTCCACCCACCAGTTGTATTTTAAGCATAAACGTTTGCAGCCTATGTACACAGTCAATAATGCACATACAATAAGATGAAAAACTCACCCAATTTCAGAATATCAAATGAATCTTCATGAACGCCTCAGTGGCCCCTAAGCAGGATACTCTCCGACAACAAGAACTAATCTCCTGCCTCTGTATCAGTGAAAACCAAACAGAGTAACTGCCACTGTTTGTGCGTATTTGGGATGAGGCGATGAGAAGAATGGTGTTTGGGGTTGACCCGCATCGGAAAGCACGGGCCGCCTCCCTCTACAGGATCAAGTTAAACAGTTTATCTGGGCTGTCCTGTCTATCAAGTACCTTTAATCCAGACGAAGAACCTTAATACAACTGAAGCCATGATCTAACATCACCCATAGAATATCAGTGGATGGGAGTATTTTTGAGCATCTTCCTCAGTTACTACTCGTCACATCTGAGGTGTCAGTGGGTACTTTCTTTTGCTGGAGCAAGAAAAGAGCCATGGCTAGGCCACTGTTTCCTCTGATCCTGTTTGCTGTGTTGCTGATGGACACTGCATGGGCCAACAATGTAAGATGTTTTATTTTCCTTACTGAAATAACATGGATCTGATTTTATAAATCTAACAGAACAGACTCCTATCTGCACTTTTATTGAAATGCATTTTAGTTATCCTTTTGTATTTACATTTGTGTAGGACACAATCCTAATTTGTAATTCTGTCAGGATCATACTGTTGCTTTTTATTTCTTAAATAATATACTGCAGAGAATGTGTTAGTTGCTGAGCTATAATGGTTGATGGGTGAAAAGTATCATAGCTTTTATCATGGCTGTTACAATTCCTTTTTAGGCAATACATCTGTAACATTTAAGTTACATAACTTATCTCCTGTTTAAGCTTTACCTCACAACATTGCACTCAGTCACTGTTTATGCGAAATCTGCATTATTCTGTGACAGAACGCTCCTTGTCTGTTTCCTGTTGTGTAGAATGTCATTCACTTTGATATACAACGTTGTCATCTGTTTGTAACTGTAGTGTCTGAGCTCAGCTTTAAACATCTTGTATCTTGAAGAGATGCAGCTTTTTTGGCAGTTCTGTTTGCACATTTCCTTCATTGTGTACAGTATTCTCTTCACTGGGCTATGTTGGTGGGCGTCTTTATGGACGGTCACTGAAAGGGGACAGGATATGGTGGAAGAAGGAAAAATAAGCAAAACAGACCTCCAGCACTAAACTGAAAGCTTACAAAGAAAAGACACATTACAAATGAGTAAACATAGTTCTTCCTGTTAAAGAAAGATTTGTACATTACTAAATAGAAAACCAAATGAATAGTACAATTCAGAATTCTTACGGCTGTGATCACAAAGGATGAGAAAATTCACTTGTTATGCTGTTATTGCCCAGCCACTGTTATAGCCTAGGCAAAACACATCTCCCAACGTGTGAAGAAAAGATAACAATTTCAAATGTTGATATCCTTAAATATAATAACATTTGCACAAGGCAATTTAGTTTGTACCAATATGAGACTTTTGTGGTACAACAGAAATTTTCCCAACTTTTTTGTCAAGGAGCAGTGCACTGTAGTTAATGGCTGAAAATCGACAATTTGGAATTTATTTATTTTATTTTATTGTATCTGAAATGACTTCACCTGATAATAGTTTATTATATCAGTACCTTATGACTACTGTATAACTGACCCTATTATTTAGTCTAGAGACAACCCAGTCCTTACATCAGTTGTTAGCGTAGCTCCACCCTCTTTTTCTGTTAGCTTCCATGAACCCTTTTCTATGCTGATGAGCAGTAATGATCACAGCCTTGAAGTTAAAGGCCACTGTGTGAAACAAAGACATTGTTGTAAGACCTAAACAATTGGAAGTTATGAAGCTTGTTTGAGCGAATTGCTTAAATTAATCCTCCACAAATGCAGTAAACTATTTTGAATGTAACAAATTCTTGATGAGTTGCAAGTGATGGATCAGCAGCACACAGCCTTTAGAGGTTGTATGCCCAGTGGTTTCCAAGCTGTGGAATTGACCCTTCTAGTGACATTAATATGGCCGTGGTTAAAGAAATAAAGCAAAAATATCTAAAACAACAATGCTTGGATGCTAGCGAGGCTGTCAAGACTCAGGTGAAAGGACTATTATTGTAGTCCATCTTCAATTTGACTTTGAATGTGGTTAGTGTGAGATGGAAAGGATATTGGTTAAGTGGGGGGAAGCATGGTTTGCTTTATACGTGTGTCAAAAATATTTGAAAACAACTTATTTCTATATCAAAATAAAATCCAATTATATAAATATTGTTTTCCATGTACGCAAAATACATATCGAACAATTTTACAATTTCTTTTTAGTGTGTTTGCAATGGAAAATCGAGATGCCACTGTGCAGGAGTGAAAGGCAGCAGGGTGAGTGGATCATTTATTGTCTGTTCAAAACACTCATCATCCTTGCACACCACGCTTTACAATCACAAGCAATACACTTTAGGTGCAGTTGTCCAGTTCTACACTAGTCATATCAGGTGCAGAGCCTTGCTATATCACTGCTGAAAAAGCATAAGTGTCTCAACATCCTTCTTTGTTATTTTGGCCTTTTTCAAGAGCAACCAGCTGTTTCCTTACAAATCCACTCGCAGTGAGCTCCAAGAAAAGAGAGCAGGACACACTCACCCCTTTCAGTCTTAAACAGTTCAGTCTAGGCAACGGTCGGCAACAAACCATGTGACTGTAATGACTGCTTAGTCGAAATTCATGGTAGAGAAATATAAGATGAATCCATGAATAAAGAAAAAATGATGTGTTTTATTTACTCCAGTTGTTTCGGTAAAACTAACAATTTTAGGAGAAGTCAAATATTTTCATTTTCACTTTGCTTATCATTAGTCTTAGTGTCAAAAGCATCAGTCCTGAAGTTACTGATAGGTCTTTAATACAGTGCCTAACACTTGAAAACATTTCAACTGTTTTATTAAGCTTTCCTGATGTTGTTACAGGTTTGTTACCAGTAGTAATATTTTAAAACATAGGCATTAATAAAATATATGTGTTAATTTAAGTTAAATCTTTCACTTTGAATGAGCCTTGGTTGCTGACATGCACTTGTAATATGTATACTGTTTGTTTTATTATTATTTGTTTACTGCCCTCTTGTACTTTTTTGATCTGTCTCTCTCTCTCTTCTCTCTCTCTCACACACACACACACACACACACACACACACACACACACACACACACACACGCACACACACACACACACACACTCACAGGGAGACAAAGGTTTTCCAGGACTTCTAGGTCCTCCGGGGTCTGCAGGTCGTCCAGGACCAGATGGTCATGCTGGGTCTTCAGGCCCAAAGGTAGATGCAATACCTTGTTTTGTACTTATACTGCATTTTACCAGATCAATGAGATTAATTATGCTGTCTTTGACAGGGAAACCATGGGACCAATGGACTTGTGGGGTCCAAAGGCAATCCGGTAACATAACTGGGTTCTTTTTGTGGTATTGTTCGTGTGTTTCTCAGTGTGAATATTTAGTTTAAAAATAAGTTTTAAATTACTTGTATACATAATGTGTAAATGCAACCATTTTGGTAGACCAGGTATCAACTCAGTAGCACTGGTGTCTTTTAAACTTTTTTACTGTTTTTGTTACCTTCATCACAGGGACCCGAAGGAAAAGAAGGATTTGCTGGGTCTCATGGTTTACCTGTGAGTTATTGTACTCTATTACACATCAGTGTCTCTCTTTTCATCGTCTGATTTATGTATTGTGCATGTTCCTGTCTAAAAATGACTGATAGATAACTTCTGCTGATATTCTCTTACAGGGTATCCCAGGTTTACAAGGGCCTCCTGGCCCCTCAGGGGCTCCAGGCTGCAATGGAACAGATGTAAGAACATTTTACATATTAACAGTGGCATGGCATCAAACCTGAAGTAGTCTTACGTTGAACCCTTTGCAAACTTTCAGGGAGACGACGGACTTCCTGGTGTACCCGGGGCAAATGGCTTTGATGGAAATCCAGTAAGTTAGTTATGTTGTGTTAGCAAATACAGTGTTTTAATTTGTTACACTTATCACCTTCAGTCTTTTATTTTGTAGTGCTGTCCACCAGGGAGTGTTTACTGTTTATAGTTTGTTTCAGCTTTGTCTTTACTTTACAGGGTACACCTGGTCTGCATGGACCTAAGGTAATAAAATGGATGCTGCGCCACCCACGGTCAGTTGTTTAGTACTTTTTATCCTAGGGAAGGGGGAAACTGCAGAATTGCTCAGCACTTACAGCCTTTAAAGACGTTTATTATCAGGATCCTGCCTCCTCAAGCTGCCAGAGCTCATATGTACCTAGTCCATTTGAGACCAATAAATATTTCCAATAGTGTTGTTTCTTCTATTAAGTCCATCCTTTTGCCAAAAAAACCGAGTTCTCAGATCTGAACACTCATTTGTATTCAAAAGATTGCTAGAATTGAGTGTTAGTAGAGTATAGATATTGGACCTGGTACATAAGAAAGTTTTCTTGTGGAAATTGGTATGGGTTATAATCCTGATCATTTTCTGTCACAGTCTTTGCCCCAAGGTGTTGATCTGTAGACTCTGTAGTCATTTTTGAGTATAAGTGGACTGAGTTGTATCACAACATGCTAGCAATGGATCTGCAGCTGACAACTTGCCATGATGCTGTTCTTCCAGTAGAAGTGCCACTGCTGTGGTATAACATGGGAGAAGGACAATGTGCTTTATATCACTTCTGATCCGTGAAAAATAAAGAATGTACAAGACATCTCCCAAACCAAAACACATATTATACAAGTGCAGAAACCACTCCATATGTTCATTCTAATGAAACTAGAATACCCTGGTTTATCATAGGGTCACCTAAGGGTAATTTCCTGTGATATTTTTGTAATCCAAGGGGTAAAAGACAACAGCATGGAGACGGAACACAAGTATTCTCTGGTATGCTCTGGTCTGTACAACATGTTGGTCAATGTAGGTTGATTTAAATCTGCTTTTTGTGGCTTGACTTGACCAGACTGAGATTACCATACTACTAGTACTGCTGGTTACGATTTCGCTCTTCCCTCATACCAACACTGTCTTACTGTGCAGACACATATTTCAAACTGCTGCATTGCCTGAACATTTCTGTGTTGTTTCACTTTAATGTCATCAATGTCAAGGCTGGTAAAAAAGTATCACCCATTTCTCCCCTTTTTCTTCAACTAGGTGTCAACCGCAAGTATGGTTGTCATTTGTAACTCTGTTTTATAAGCACAAGTTGCTGAATTGGTAAATGAGAATTGCGTTTTATGCAACGGTTTTAAAGAGGCAACCCCTCATTGTAATTCAGAGTGCATACATGCATGTCAAGTGCACAGACACATAAAGATGAGTGATGTAGCCTGCAGAGCCAAACTGCGATGAAATATGAAACTTTGAAATAATGTTACATATATTTCACTTAGAATTGCTACATGAATGAAATTATTAGGTATTTTAACACAAAATTCAGTAGTTTTCACAACTGCATGTTACATAATTTGACTTCCTCTATTTTACAGGGTGAATCTTGGGGATCAGTGAACGCAACACCAGGTCCACCTGGGCCCTCCTGGAAGGGACAGAGACCCGGTATCTATTTCGATTATGTTAATATTGATAGTATAATTCTGTCTGTACGATATTTTCCATTTCCATGAAAGTCATTATAATGAAAAAATATATATAAAAGTAATACTGTATTAGATTTGTTTGGCTTGTGTTTATTTATTAATATAAATGAAACATCCCTTAACTTTCAGGGAAGTCCAGGATACCCTGGAGATAATGGACAAAGAGGGGACCGTGGACCTTTGGGCTCTGTCGTGAGTAAAGTTTTGACGGTTGCCTTGCAGAGAGTAAATATAGCACAAAAATGATTGTATGATGTTTGATACCTGTCTCTTATGAACAGGGGTCTCCTGGTCGTGATGGGGCTCCAGGATCTAAGGTAATTTGATTAAACATGGATCAATACTTTGGACATGCCTGTACGTGTGAACGGTTGTGAGAATTATCTGTGTGTATAGCTGGCACAGAGGAAAACCACAGCTGCAGGGTTTTTGTTTTGGTCTGCTTCTTCTTATCATAGTTAACTGTACACACTGCCTGGGAAAAGCGGGAACATCGCCTAGCAGCTGATATAATGTACACTGCTGTTTGGCCACAGTACTTGTTGTTTTGGTAAGACAGTGTTTTGGAATTTAGTGTGAACATCTGAAGGTATTCCTGTTTACAAGTGTCCTGTGAAACTCCTTTCAGACAGTGAAAATAGTAATGATAGGATTTAGTGTATTAGAGGAGCTGGCAGCAATGAACACAACATGACTGGAGAGAACCTGACCACAACCTAATTGGATACAATTGCAAAATAAAGATATTTCTGAAAGAATACTGGCAGAACAACTTCTTTATACAAACAAATTATGACTGTTTTACCATCCTACAGGGTCAAGAAGGCATAGGGGGTTCAGGACCTCGAGGAACAAAGGTAATTCTTTTTGATGCCTTTGCTCTGGTGACAGCTATGTTTTTAGTTTTTCTTAAAGGTCCCCTATTATACTGTTTTTCATCAATATATTATAGGTCCCAGATATATACAGAACATGTCTCTGAAGTGTTTGGCTCGAAATACCAGACAGATCACCCATTGTAGCATCCCATAAATAATAATAATAATAATAATAGCTTGGATTTATATAGCGCCTTTCAAGGGACCCAAGGTCGCTTTACAAGTAATAGGGCAAAAACAAACATAACAAAACAAAAGTCAGACAGACAAAACAACAGATCGATTAGGGGCCGAAAACCTTGGCAAACAGATGGGTCTTGAGGGCCCTTTTGAAGGCGTCAAGTGTGGGGATGTTGCGAATCTCCGCAGGGAGAGCGTTCCAGAGGGTGGGGGCTGCCACACTGAATGCTCTGTCCCCGAAGGTTCGCAGTTTGGTGCGGGGGGTGGTAAGCAGGCCAGAGTCTGAGGACCGCAGGTTCCGGGGTGGGGCATGTGGGTGAAGGATGTCCGATAGGTACTGGGGGGTATGGGCATGGAGGGACTTATCTTATATGCTATGCGGGACTTGACTGGCAACCAGTGGAGGTGGATGAGGGGTGGGAGTGATGTGCTGCCACGGCTTTGTGTGTGTGAGTACCCTAGCAGCACAGTTTTGGATATACTGCAGCCTGTCCAGGGTTTTGTTGGGAACCCCAAACAGGACACCATTGCAGTTGTCCAAGCGGGAGGTGACAAACGCATGCACTAGGGTTTTGGCAACCAACTCCGAGAGTGACGGTCGGAGTCTGGCAATGTTCCTTAGATGGAAAAAGGCCGATTTGGTCACAGATTTGACGTGGGAATGGAAGGAAAGGGTGGAGTCGAGGATGAAGTCACCAACCTTCATAAACCCCTCTGTTTCAGCCCTGTTTCAAAAGTGCTGATTCTGTGTCTTTTACTTTAGATGAAAATAAGGAGCCACTCCCCACGCCCCTCTGCGAGATATTTGGTTAAAAAGAACACAATGGTGCTCTAGGAGGAGATTCAGGTGATAAGGTGGGGGGTGGTTACCTTGGTTGGTTATTGGCTAATGGTTACACAAGCCAAAAAATTGTTATGACATCATAAAGTGGCCAAAATCTAATCAGCTCATTTTCAGACAGGTTTTTATATAAATGGATCAGGACAAAAAGTGAGCAAATCTTTTTTCCTGAAACGTTCAGGATCTCTTTACACAGAGGGGACACATGTTTCTGTATAAAAGACATGAAAAAGTGTATTTTGCATAATAGGTGACCTTTAATGTATGTTGGCATGTCTATGGAGTATATGCATAAAAGGCGTCAGCCAAATACAAAATTATGTTTGCATTTTGTCTTATTTAACCGTGAAGATAATCTCAATGTGTTTGATGTAGGGGAGACGAGGACCAACTGGCCCACCGGGGCCGCCGGGTCGGATCAAGGTTTTTCTCACAGAGACTCAGGTGTTGAAGGTACAGTAACAGACTGAGTCAAATCACTGTAGCAATAATATATTCCAAAGAGTATGGTTTCATTCTAACATGTTGGAAAGATAAAACATTTTCATTGCGATTAAAGAACCATAACCTGAGACCTATGTCTCATTCAGGGTGAGAAAGGAGACGGGGGAGATGTAGGAGAAAAGGGCTGCAAGGGTGCGCCAGTAAGTATATTCTTCACACATTTCTAATTGAATTCCCCTGCTGAACGTTCTGCCTTGTTAGTGTTTTTTGTTTATCCCTCTGATCCATGTCTTTATTTCAATCTGTTCTCAGGGAGACCCTAGTAATGGTTATAACACCAAAGGAGAAAAGGGAGACCAAGGACAGCCGGGTCCAGAAGTAAGATACTACCAACGACCTCTTCCACTCATCCTCACCTCCAAGCCTTCCTTACGGATTGTGCATGTATATGAAATAAAGTGTTATATACTTTTACACCATAACAGCAGAGGGCAGTAATGCAGCATTTCAATTAATGTGATTTGCCACATTGCTGCAAAAAGGCCCTTATTGATTGTCCCTCTGTCGGTTGAAAGTATTAATGTGAAACTCCTGGAAGATACACAGAAGTTTAGGAAGGCTCTCAGATAACTACATGTCGTGCGTTTCTTTCTGAGCGACTAAAGTGGGAGGACGTGTTTGTTTACTTGTGATTTATGCAGCAGAGTGAATAGCTTAGTGACTAATTTTATTTCTTGTCTTAGTGTCTGCACATTTTTACTATTCAATGTGTGTCATTGTTTCTTGCTTTCATGCAGCAATTCCCTTACTAAGAGACAAATAAAGTAGATTGACCTTATCATCAATGTGTATACAAAATGTTGCATAATTCAGTTCCTAAAAAATTGCTTCAGCCCAAGATATAGTGTTTAGTGTTAATGTACTACCTCCTGTGACTCCCTTAAGGCCCATCTTTCTACAGGGGAAAGGGTTCTCTTCAGGTTTTGGGACAAAACCTCAAGTCTGATTTCACATGGAAGGTCGAGCTTTGCTATGCCTTGTGTTTTTTTGTAGAACATGTAGATTCCATGCAGCCACCCAATGTGACTGAGAATTTCAAATCTGAGCCTGACCTAGAATTGTGTGTGTCATGTGGACAGCATGTTAAATGCTCTATACATGGTTTTCATTTTGTTTCATTTACTTGTCGCATGCATCTGAATGGTGTCACTGCTTTTATAGGGAGCCGCCGAACCCTCCATATGTAATGAAAGAGGGGCCTCCCCTTAAATCCTAGCTGTTGATTGCTTTAATGCTTACTGTGCCAATAAATATTACATTTTCAATAATTCAATTCATTAACGCATCCTGCATGAGGTCCTACATAAACAATTGAATGTATAGAAAGTACACCTGCCAATTGCTCACTCTCTTCCTCTGTTGTCCTTACAGGGAAAGACAGGGAAGGACGGTGAACCAGGACAAACATATGTGGTACCGCTCTACTTTACTAAGATTATGGATGTATGTAGAGGTATTGTGTCTTCTTGTGTTTGTGGCTTTTGAATACAATATAGTTTTCTTTAGGGAAAGCCTGGACCCAGAGGGGATCTGGGAAATCCAGGGACAGCAGGAGGGATGGTCAGTGATTTCTTATAAGCAAAATAGTAACTCAAGACTTTTGCGGGGTTTGGTATGTTTTGTACTTAATCCTTTCATTGACTGTACTATTTAGGGTGGAAAGGGAGATAGGGGTCCCCCTGGCCAACCTGGACATGTGAGTATATCCTTTTCATTTTCTACTGTGTACTCCTGAACTTTGTGTTTTTTTCAATCCAGTTTCCAAGGCAATTTTCAATTCTATAAGAAAGTATTATTGCATAAATGCGTTGCCGTGATTAGCCTGTGTTGTACCTCAATATAACAAAGTTAAGGTAACTCTCAAGATATTGCCTCAATTTCTTTTTAGATACTGATCAACTTTTTAATGTTGGTAACACATGTTGTTTAATGTATAAACTGCTGAAGCTCTGACTGCAGCAACAATGCAGATGACATGCTACTGTAGCTAGCTGACATGATGAAAGTGATTGAGAGCGGGGGTCGCAGAGGTGTGGTCTAAAAAGGAGCCTACTATAATCACAGGTGGTTTGTCAGAGAAGACAAACCACCTGTGATCTTTAGCGCCCCCTTGAGGGGGGCCTCTTTTTCTTGCTGTTTCATTTTCATTTCTCTACATGTCCCCTATGATTATATTTAAGGTATTTGGGCCTGTGACTGAGCCGCTCAAAGGATACCACGGAGAACCTGGTTTCCAAGGCTCCCCTGGGACACCTGGGCGTCCAGGTAAACGAAAATAATAACCCTAACCCTAAGAAACAAAAAGAGATGAACAACAAATAGATCCGGTGGCCCTAAGTCATTGTCTGCCTCGATTGACAAATGATATTTCTGTAGATGTGGTAGTTATGACCTTATAGACTAATGTTTGCTTTCAGCAGACATGCCTCTAGAGGAATAACACTTTACTTTTCTTTTCTCAGGTGTTGAAGGGTTTCCTGGAACTGATGGTCCTCCAGGTGTGTAGTGAAGAGGCTTTTCTCATCCTTTGTATCTCTCTATATCCCAATCAGGAAATACATATATGTATTACTTTAAAGGTGGGGTAGGTAATTTTGGAGAAACCAGCTCGAGTGCGCCAGAATTTGAAAATACACAGCCGGAAAAAATCTGCCACTTCCTTACAGAGCCCCTCCTCAAACACACAAACGTGCACATGACCAATGAGGGCACGAGATAAGTTTGTGCACAGATGGAAGGCTGACAGGCAGGTAGGCCATCCAGTTATTTTAGCCCGGCCGGCTAAAATTATTGGTCGTGCTTTTTACAGTACTACGGCTTCCACAGATGACATTTTTTTTATGGATTTTTTGTCAAAGCACTTAAGATATTCATTGCTATCGGGATGTTAAGAGCATTCCGTGGAATATAACAAAAAGTGTATCTCGAGCCGGTTTCTCAAACTTACCTACCCCACCTTTAAGTGTGCCTGAATATATTACTTACAATTTTCTCTATAAACATTACACAGGCAATTCATCTGGGATATCTGTGCCAGGCCCACGTGGTCCGAATGGCTTTCTGGGCCACAAAGGGGACCCTGGGGAGCCTGGGGATATTTATCCAAGACTTTCAGGTATAGATGGGGATGATGGTGATCAGGGGCCTCCCGGGGATCCGGGCCCACCCGGACCGCCTGAAGACAGAAGTATGTGTAAATTCCTTTCTTGTAAAAAGACATATTTTCAAAGCTCACTTGCTTTCTTCTGTTTTCTGTGATGTAAAGATAAAATGGCTGCAGTTCTATTGCACAAATGCATGCGACTGTAACTTGATGTGATGGAAAAGAGTGATAGGTGCGTGTTTAACAATTGAGCCATCAGTTATCAGAAACAACATGGTAAAAATAATGTTCAAGATTGGATTACATTTCAAAGTGCTTCAGTTATGCTATAGGCATACAAGAGGATAATCTGTATTACTAACAAAAATACACCAATAGTGATAATAAAAATGCATTTTGACATAAATATGGCACTTTTACCATAATAAGTTGACTGATGGACTTGTGTTGGTGTTGATTGCAGCTAACAGGATTACCAACGCTCCCCCAGGAATGAAAGGGGTGCTGGGTAGACCTGGACATATGGGACATGATGGGACATATGGAATGAAAGGTGGGAAATTAATTGTCCTTCATTGACTATGTTCCTAATTGGTTAGACACCTCTTCAAGTCACTAATACTGGTAAACTATTGCATGCAGTTACTGAATAACATAGCAGTTTATGCATCTCTGCAATGGACTGGGGGGAGTACGAAGAGAAAATGTAAGGAAAACATAATATTGTATAACATAATTGGGACTCATTATATTGCTGCTCAAAACATTCCAATGTTTTTTCTTTGTTCAGGAATAAAGGGGGAGCCGTGTTATGCCTGTCTTGTATCAGATTTCCCAGGACCACCGGGTCCCCGGGGCCTACCTGGCATCCCTGGTAAATAAATTCACTGCAGGAAAACACAGAATCTACCAAATCTGTCCTTCTTCAACATTGGAGTGCATTTTTTAGTAAAAGTTTTGGAAATACTACAGTGTAGATAAGATGAACAGAGTAGGAATGTTTGAAACTGAAATAGACATTCTTTATACGTCTGTGGCTCAGGATATAACCAAGGACCAGGTGCTAAAGGTGATCCAGGTTTCCCAGGGCCTGATGGCTTAGGAGTACAAGTAAGAATGCATGTCTTAAAAAACAAATCCTTATTTTTTACAAACATTTGTGAACAATAATTCTCCTCTGAAGGGTCCTATAGGTCTAACGGGATTTCCAGGCCCTCAAGGACAAAAAGGAGCCTCATATTCCTACAACACTCCTGGGATAAAGGGAGAGAAAGGAGACCTGGGACACCCTGGCAGACCTGGTGCAGGTGCACTCCCTGGGTTTCCTGGACAACCAGGACGAAAAGGCGAGCAAGGTCCCCCAGGGGATTCGGTGAGAAGGTTTTGTCAGGTTTCAATTTAACATGCCATTTGTTTTGCCATTTTGTCACATGTTAATGTGTCAACCTTCTTAATTCATAGCCATTTGCAAAGGCCCATGCAATAGAATTTATGGTTTAAGTAATTGTTGCAATAAGTTCTCCGTCTTCTCTCCAGTATCCCTTCCATGGTGCAGAGGGAGAACGTGGTTACCCGGGTCCACCAGGTTCTTTAGGTATACCAGGACCAGTTGGCTATGCTGGGTCAGTGGGATACGGGCCTCCTGGACTTCCAGGAGGTCCGGGAGATGCTGGTGTAACTGGCCTGCCAGGACACGCTGGATCTCCAGGTAAAGAAACACCTATAAACAATATATCAGACATTTATACATGAACACAAGTAGATAGACAGAAAGACTGAAAGCCATTGGGTGTCCTTTCTTTTCTTATTTCTTCATCGGTAGGCCAGAAAGGCGAATCCACATATATCCACACCATAGGACCTCCTGGACAGCCTGGATTTAAAGGTCTGCCTGGTTCACCCGGAATCCTAGGTAAGTATTTATTATTGGATGAATGATATGGTGTTTACATTGCCACACAATAGATGATGGAAGCATTTCCATACTTACTAACAAACATCCAGGTAACCACGGAGTGCCAGGTAGCCCAGGACTAACAGGTTTTCAAGGACAGAAAGGAGAGAACAGTGAGATGTCGTTTCCTGGAAGGCCAGGGATCCGAGGACAGAAAGGTAATCTATGTGCTGTTGAGCACATGCAGAAAAGCCACATAGATAACATAATCAATTTCTGGAAGTTAACACCTTCTTAAGCAAATGGGGAGCAGCTAAAAGTATAGTTAACTTGGCAATTGTGTGTGTGTGTGTGTGTGTGTGTGTGTGTGTGTGTGTGTGTGTGTGTGTGTGTGTGTGTGTGTGTGTGTGTGTGTGTGTGTGTGTGTGTGTGTGTGTGTGTGTGTGTGTGTGTGTGTGTGTGTGTGTGTGTGTGTGTGTGTGTGTGTGTGTGTGTGTGTGTGTGTGTGTGTGTGTGTGGTGTGTGTGTGTGTGTGTGTGTGTGTGTGTGTGTGTGTGTGTGTGTGTGTGTGTGTGTGTGTGTGTGTTGTGCAGGTGACATGGGGCAGCCAGGTATCACTGGTGTTCCAACTGTTGGTGATTTCGGTCGGCCAGGTTCACCAGGCCCTCCTGGTCATGCAGGACTGAAGGTCAGAGAGACAGACTAAATCTGACATTAATATAATTATATAGTTAACAATTACATATAGTATATTAGTACTTTATTGGTCATTAAATAAAGCAAATTAAAGGGTCAAACTAAAGGTCACCAGTTAAAATACAGAAGGGTTTACACTTACAGATGCAGATTAAAAATAGGAAATAAAAAATATTTGTCCAAGCTTCCCTGCAGTTGTACCGTCTAAATGTTATATTATTTCTGTTGAGATCTTGGATTAGACAGCAAGAGATCAATGTACATATGGTAAAGAGGCTTTTTGCTGAGAGTATGATGAGAAGATTGACATCATGTGACCCAATAGCACATATGCGAAAACCAGTTTGCTTTCGGTAGACCAGTAGAAAAGTGACATTTTATTGTTTGGATTTGTTTTAGTAGTGCAGAATAAAGTGATCACTTACGTTGCAAGTTAACACTTTTCCAAGACATTCAAATGCTCGTTTTATTGGGTTTTTGAATAGATTTTGTTTTCTTTGATCGACTTTTTTTGCTCAAACTTCTGTCGCAATATAATAAAAGTACCCCCTTGAAAGGAATCGAATTGGACGAAGACTGTTAAGGACTCTCTAGCAGGAACAGCTGTTATACACATGTCAGAGCACAAGAACTATACCACACTGAAAGCACATTGAAATGTGTAAGTATAAATAAATAATATTCTGTATGTTTGTGATCATCAGGGTGATGGTGGCCCTGGATACGCTGGCCTCCTAGGACCACCAGGGCTTCCAGGGGAAGAAGGAGCTCAGGGGCCTGGGGGAGATCCTGGGATCCCTGGCTTACCTGGGAACCCAGGGCCAAATGGCAATCCTGGTTTTATAGGAGAAAAAGGTACGCATAAATCAATTATAAAACTGTATCCCACAGGCAGACAGAAATCCATAATAAGAAAATAATACATGTTTCAAACACACACAGACATGTGTTTTCATGCATTGCATACATATTCATACAAACACTTGTTCATCTATAAACTGCTTTGATCTATGTTGCATACAGGAAGTAAAGGTTATGTCGGGCCCCTAGGACCTCCTGGTTATCAAGGTTCATGTAAAGGTGATTTACCTGGACCAAGGGGACTTCAAGGACCAGGTGGTTATCCAGGAAATCCAGGTCAGTGTGTATTGAAGTCATGTGATGTACTTAACTGTCAACTCCAGACGATGAATACAGTAATTGAACGACAACGAAATGCCAAAAGAGGGTTGAAAAATAATTCAACAATGTCCAACAAGTGTAGACAGCTTCTTCCTGTAGGGTTAAGAATACATTAAAAAGTAAAAAATAACAATAATAACATTTATTAATTTGACTAATAATAAAATAAAGAAATACTAAATAGGTTTTTCACCATTCCCTTAACCACATTCAGTGTTTCCCTCTGCTCCCCAACTACATTTTCTCCTGTCTCTCTGTCTCCCCTCTCCCAGGACCTAATGGTCTGCCGGGGGAGAAAGGGAACCGAGGAGTGCCGGGGTTTGGTCCTACTGGGGCCCCTGGTGAGCCTGGTTTAATTGGGCCAACCGTGCTAGGTCTAAGTGGGCTTCCTGGACTAAAAGGGATCAAGGGACAACATGGCCCCCCTGGTCAACCAGGTACAGCATTGTTTGTCTGACAGACACGTATTTAAAGGTGTTTTATTCTAGATAGATTGGGAGTGGGTCATTTCAACTTTAAAAACGTTTAAAAAACATCTAAATGTGCTTAAGTAAAAGTATTTATTATTCAAAAAAAATTCCCAGTATGGAATTGTTATGGTTATTATATCACAACATGTCTCTTAGATGTATACAGAGTAGCATAACAGCGAAATACTCAGGTAAAGTACTATTATGTCAAAATAATACTCTAGTAAAGGACTTGAGAACATAGAGCTTGTTTTCAAGAGTTCCACTCCTCTAGGAATAAGAGGAGACCCTGGACCAGACGGGTTACCAGGATATGGAGCAGAGGGGCTCCCTGGAACTATCGGACCACCAGGCCAAATAGGTGTGCACACACACACACACACACACACACACACACACACACACACACACACACACACACACACACACACACACACACACACACACACACACACACACACAACACGCACAAATCTACAGTCACTACACATGTTTTCCAAAAAGATTCATTTAAAAAGTCTTGCATCAGTTTTTAAACAATGGTTGATGATTTATGGTAGTTTTATAATGAATACAATTATGATGGAGTTAATGCCTCTATTGACAGGTGCCCCTGGCCGACATGGGGCAAGAGGTCTCCCAGGTCTACCAGGCATTAACGGAGACCCAGGTCCTGGAGGTCTTCCAGGCCCTTCATCACTAAAACTAAAGGAAGCTGTTGGGCCCCCAGGGGACCCTGGCAGTCACGGTAAGCTTCACAGTCAATCTTTCTCATTAATATGTCATTTCATGATGCTTACAGGTGTTTCACAAAACACAACTGACATTTTTTGAGGGATCTTTCTTTTACATAACTTTTAGGTTTTTATATCAAAGGACACTTGCATGTGAAGCGGTAAATGCAGTCTTTGCAAGTTAAGCCTATGTAATGGTTGTACATTTTTAACTCTACCTGTACTTTTTCAGGTCACCCCGGTCTCTCTGGTGTCCATGGAGATCCTGGAAGTATTGGACCAAAAGGGCAGAGAGGGATTGGTGGAGCACCAGGGCGTCCCGGACAAAAAGGTTTGTTATTCTCATCTCTACCAATACAACAGCCATTATTTTTGGCCCCTAGATCTACCGTTTTTGAAACTGCATTTCTGCCATCGTTGTCCAGGTCTGCCAGGTGAACCAGGTGTTGATGGACTCGTGCTCTCAGTAGGTAGTCGAGGGCCTTCTGGATCTCCCGGAGACCCAGGAGTCATAGGGCCTCCAGGTAAGATATAAACTTTGATTTAACGTCATACACGCTGATTGCCTTCCTACGAATTCACATATATAACCTCACTAAAGTACAGTAATACTACTAAATAGCTCTATAACTACAAATTCAGGATAAAATCACATTTTGATTTTCAATAACCATTAAAGGGGTTTCGAAATAAAGTAATTCTCTAAAATAATCTGTACTGTCAAATGTACATTGCATTGTGCTGTACGTGTAGATATCACAGTCTCTTTTAATATATCTTACCTTAAATAATTGTTTGGTTTAACCCTCACAGGCTCAAAGGGAATCAAAGGAGATCTAGGAATCCCTGCAGGGCCAGGTCCAGATGGTGTACCAGGTTCACCCGGTAACAAAGGAGTTAATGGAGAGCCAAATGACTATGGATATGGAATACCTGGACCAGTAGGACAAAAGGTACTGATGACTGATCTAAACCTTTTTTGTAACTGATGCGGCAGAGCAGGGTCCAATCTACTAAAATACTCAAATGTTTGTAGTTTTGAGGAAATAATGACGATTCCTCTCTGTTTTCTGTTCATCTTGTCCAGGGTGAAGCAGGATCAACTGACCCTTATCAGATGAAGGGTCAGAAAGGAGAACCTGGTTCTTTTGGACCTTTAGGTTTACCAGGAAACCGTGGAGCCAAAGGAAACCCAGGGCCTGTTGGACAAAATGGTTACTACCACTGTTCACGAAGATAAGGCAGATTATGATTGTTGTATGTTTTGCTCACACTAAGTTAACCTCCCACCTCTCTCTTGTCCCAAACCCTGCTATCCCAGGTTCACCAGGCTTTCAAGGGCCTGAGGGGTCAGATGGACCTCCACGATGCAAAGGAGGGTTAGGACCCAATGGGCCAGCAGGTAATGTCCTTTAACGACAACTTATTTTTGCTAATGAAGGAAAACTTTCGGTATATGTTAGTTAATCAACTATCAACAAACTTTACGGTACTCACTTTTGAAAGGCGACGAAGTTGAATCTGTCTTATATTTGTACTGCTCTATTATGTCTGCAGTTTGACCGCATCTGTTTTTCTCAGGTGACCCAGGCCCACCGGGAGTCGGTGGTTATCTAGGTCCTAAAGGCAATCAGGGCCGCGACGGCATACCTGGACCAGCAGGGCAGAAAGGAGACACTAGTAAGAGGAATTCTCCATATACAGATCTGTAGGGCTTTCTGGGCTCCTGCACATCATGTATATGACAAAACTATAAGGATTACAGTTTATATTTTCTTTATGTCCATACCCCTGGCCAGTGGAAAAGTGTCTATTTCATAGCTATTAGTACTTTCAAAGCCATCGCTGCGGCCAAACTTAACCTGTTTTTCCATCTCGTCTTTGTAGACATATTAGGAGGGACACCTGGTAGGCGTGGTGACACAGGTCAACAAGGTGAGTTTCAGGTAAACTACATCATTCATTTAAGAAACTTGTGTCACAATCCTTTATTTAAATATTATCTTATATATATATATATAATATATATAAATTATTATCTACCTGTAATGTTGCATAGCACAAAACACATTTTACAGCAACACTTTTTTTTGTCTTTAACATTTGATTATTAGCACTGTTGAGAAATGAGTGCCAAACATTTATATGTCTGCACTGTAGGTCCCCCCGGGAGCCCTGGTCCCCCCGGCTTGTCTCTTCCAGGGGGTCCTGGAACAATAGGAGAAAGAGGATTTCGAGGTTCACCTGGAGCCTCTGGCCTGAAAGGATTACCAGGAAGAGAAGGGGCGTGTGTTTCTGGGTCAAAAGGAGACCGTGGCCATCCAGGCAATCCTGGTAGCCCAGGTGAGGATATACAGCTGGAGGTTAAAGGGGCATACATACCCTTGGGGGAAAGTGGGATATATCCTGATAGCTATGTTTTGCAACATTTACAAACATAGTACTTTTGAAAGTGTTACGAATATTTATAATTATTTTATTTGCCTGGTTCTCAGTTGTAACAAATGCATTTTTTTATACTAAAATAACTATCTCCTCCCTCCTGTTAATGTAGGCTATCGTGGCTTACCTGGTGATGCAGGTCAAGCAGTGCCAGGGTTTAAAGGAGACAGAGGGGACCCAGGTTTCACAGGAGGCCCGGGCTATAATGGCCCCAGAGGAGATCCAGGCCCTCACGGTCCGACTGTAAGTGAGCCGTATATATCTATGTGTTCTGTGTAGACTAAATACTGAACAAATGCCTGTCAGATAAGTAATTAAATGCTATGTCCAGTGTTCTGTTTTTCTTCATATTTGTTTTTGAATGAGCATCATTGGTAGTTACATCACAACTGAAGCTGAATCTTTGACCTTTCATTGTTTAATCTTCCTTCTCAGGGTCCAAAAGGCAGACCTGGAGGCCCTGGTCCAAGAGGGGATTCTGGTCCTCCTGGAAACTATGGAAACCCAGGTAATCTATCATATCCATTTTAGCCTAAAGATTTTGTATTTTCTTTCAATTCTCTGCCAGACAATAGCATATCTGTCTCCATAGAAGAGTTATAATCCACTATTGATTGTTCCCACAACTGGGATGAAATAAAAATTGTCCAGAGACAAAAGTGGACAGAGTAAAATAAGATTTATGAGGATTCATTTCACTTTTTTTCTGTGATATCCAAGATTGGAATTTCCACAAAAGGGTAAGATGACAAGATAATTATCTTAAATCTATTTATGACCTCTGTGTTTCAGGTGGAAAGGGAGACCCTGGATACATCCCAGGCCCTCCTGGTCAATCCGGGGTGAAAGGCTTTCCTGGACGACCTGGTACGGCAAAAGTTTGACTACTGTTAAAAATAACCAGGAATAATACTGATCCCTATTAATATCTTCCAGACTTATCTACAACAGATATGACTCACAGCAGAGATGAAATGTTCCAGTGAGCCTTCTTAGATAACTAGTCTAACACTTGAATATTGTCAATGTTAGCATTCTGCTGCCCTTAACTAATTCTAGCAAATATGTCAGCCATGTCCCACAGGTATAATGTATTTTTTGAAATATCTTTCCAAATGCTTCTTCTCTGTCACTACAGGCAAGAAAGGTGAACCTGCAGTGGTGGTGGTGAAGTATGAATCAGGACTTTCTGGCCTACCTGGTCCCCATGGCAATCGAGGATCCCCAGGGAGCACAGGGCCTTCAGGAACAACAGGCCGACCAGGTACACAATGTAACCTTAGCTGCTTCGATGTATTGATTTTAAGATTTGGTACTTTGCCAAGGATAATGCACCATTTTTCCCCCCAGTTTAATACCATAATATTTCCTATGCATTAAATGAAGGTAGACATTGTTCAATACTAGCTTTATTTTATTTTATATATTTGCTACATATATTATTTTCTTGTCTTGTGTATGCTTTTATACTGATAAAGTCATGAATGGTTTATGTTTCTAGAACATCTTATAGAAAAAGTGTCAAAAACAAAACAAAAAAACGAATAGATTGAAACTCAAACGTCACATGTATAGAATATTTATTTCTTGCTATATATTCAGCTCTTTTTTTTCCTTTCTTTTTACCCCACGTGACTGAATCCTTCTGTTCCAGGTCAACAGGGCGTCAAAGGACAGCGCGGCCCCAGCCCAGGCGGCCAGCCCGGATTTACTGGCCACAAAGGGGACAGAGGAAGCTCAGGACTTCCAGGTGTGTGTATGTGCGTGGATTAAAAAAGAGTGTATGTGTGTTTACACCAGATGATATGTTATGATTAAAAATAGGCATTCTCTGCATGGTGATCAATATGAATTCCATGTTAAAAAATACTGTTTTGTCCAACAGTGAGAATAAACAGTGAAGCAGATTGTAGTACACCACTCACATGATGTCAGTTAAAAACACAGTACAGTTGTTATTTTTTGGTATTATTAATGGGTTTTTCTCTGCAGGTCAAGAAGGCAGACCTGGTTTCCCAGGCAACAAGGGTCCTCAAGGGCTGCCAGGCATAGGGGGTCCAAGTTATTTTGACAGTTTTCTGATTGCCAAACACAGCCAGAACACCAGCATCCCGGACTGCCCTTATGGCACTACCTTCATCTACTCTGGTTACTCTTTCCTCTTCATCAACGGAAATGAGAGAGCTCATGGTCAGGACCTTGGTAAGAGCATGGAGAACTTTATTAATATAAATCATTTGCAGCAGTAATTAAATATGTGTCCGAGTTAGTCATTGTCTGACTCCGTCTCTCAGGCACCACAGGAAGCTGTCTACCTCGTTTCTCCACCATGCCCTTCCTGTTCTGTGACACCGAATCAACTTGCCGCTATGCTTCTCGTAACGACTACTCCTACTGGCTGTCCACTGACGCTGCTTTGCCCGCCAACATGGTTTCCATCACAGGGGATAGACTGGCCTCCTATATCAGCAGGTGGGACAGGAGCATATTCACAGACTCTTCTAATACTGTTTATTCTCTTACAAAGACGTCATTAAGAGAAGATAAAACAATGAGAATAATAAACTAATAAAACAACACAAAGAACAAAAATAATAAAATAAATAAACAAATGGTAAGTATTGGCATTACCTTTAATATTACTATCACATGCAAACTTGATCATAATATCTACATATAATAACAATGCCAGCTGCAGCATTGTTAGCTATTTTATATAATATTCATGTGGGGTCCAAATATGATCAGAAATACCTCCTGTCTATTGTTCCATTACTGTGTCTTACAAAATTGCAAATACAACATCTTGTACATTTTCTGCTAAATGGAATATTCGTTTTTTATAAAGCACTTGATAACACTTGTTTTAATATCAATGTTTGTATGCATGTGTGTTTTAGGTGCTCAGTGTGTGAAAGCACATCCAATGTCATAGCCGTCCACAGCCAGACAATTCTGATACCCGAATGTCCCAGAGACTGGGAGTCACTATGGACAGGATACTCATTTGTCATGGTAAAAGGGCATATTTTGTATTTTTAGTCCCTTGATTTTCTCATGTGTTTTCTTTCATTACATTTTTCTTCATATTTCCTTCATCCATTCTAGCAAACGGGAGCAGGAGCAGATGGCTCATCCCAGCCGCTGGTTTCTCCTGGCTCGTGTCTGGAAAGTTTCCGCCAAGTTCCCTTCATAGAGTGTCACGGCAGGGGAACGTGTAACTACTACCCTGACTCCTATAGCTACTGGCTGGCCTCAATAGACCCAAACAGCATGTTCAGGTAAGCTTTTGTGGACGCATGCCATGGGGGATGCCTTTTTTATCTGCAGTTTAAATCATCACTCGCATGTTTGGGTGTGTTACATGTACATAAACAGCTGCTAATTGTAGAGGAATTCATTAGCATTATTTAGTTTTGCGTGTCCTATGATTACCACAATGCTGTTTCAGAATCAAAATCGTATCATACTTCAAAAGGATATGTTTGAACCATATTACCATGTCACTTTGAATCAAGCCATTATACAGCTGTAATGTGTTTGTGCTTTGCTCTCTCCTACAGTAAACCTGTTCCTCAAACAGTGAAGGGACCGTCTCTACAAAGTGTCATCAGCCGTTGTCGAGTCTGTAGGAAACCATGGCAACCAACAGATGACAAACGTGGGGACAATTAACATTTGCTATCTTACTTTTCAATGTCATTTGAAGTATTGGAGTTTTGACACTTTGTTGGCTGTATATCTGTTTGTATCACTGGTGCTTTTAAGTAACACATCTCTGTTTATGATTCTGAATTAAACACCAATCTTAAGCAAATTTCAAATAATTTTTAAGATAGGTATTTTATCATCTCTAAAGTAGTGTATATTAGAATTATTGCGTGTCATGATACCTTGTAGAAACTGTGTTTTTCCACCTGTTTATAATTATTCCTTTGATAAACATAAGAGCAGCTTGTAATAGCAGTGATTAAGTTATAACTTGTAGTTAATGTATTAGTAATACTAGTATAAGAGCAGCACTAATTCATCTTTTATGTGTGTTTATTCTCACCGAAATATTCAGTTTTACTTTGAATGCTTGTTTTGACTTCTCAGTGACATAATGAATAGTCGCCATCTGCGTCCTAGACAAGCCTAGAATGACTGAGAAATGATTGACCTGTTTATTGATGTCAGTGAATGACATAAAACGTATGATGTCACAGACAGATTACGCACATGTTCCTATACTGGAGAGGCAGTATGTTGTAAATCGCTTTGGAAATGTTGCGTTGTCTTGTTTTCAAACCCACATATTGAGTCATTTGTGGCCTAACTCTAAAAGCATTTCTTTGAATTGTTTAGCAAGTGAAATGGTGCATGGAAAAGATTAAACTTTATGACTCACACTGCCTGCAACTTTCTCCAATCCACTTCTAAATTAACTGTCGGGAGGCTGTCTGTGTGTCTTCGGGGGGAAATGCACATTAAGGTATCAAGAGGGTGTATTGTGGATTTATTTATTTTACATTAAATCTTTCGCATTTTAAATTGTCAATTGAAGTAGAAAATATATTGAAATAAAAATTCAAAAGAAACAAAATAATGATTATTTTAATGGGATGTTAATCCTCCTGTTGATTCCACATGGAGCCATTACTTTGAAACAGGCTGTTTGCAATAATGCAGCTAATCTTCTGTCCAGAATAGCCAGCAAACATCTAATTTCTCTGCACTATTTACTCTGAAATGTATCAGCAGAGCAATAGGTCCCTTAGGAACAGTCATTCAATCTCACTCATCCATATCTGTCACTGGGATCAATACATGCAAACGCTCCATATAACGAGATGCAAAAAAGTACAACACCCTTTAACAACACTGGTTTTAAAATACTGTTGCTTTTTGGCAAGCAGATCTTCCAACATATCGATTGCTCAGAGTCAGAAATAACAAGCAGCCTCATACGCTTATGCAAGGGAGGCAGCTAACACGAGTAACTGAAGAGGAGCTGAACCCTTTTTGGGAATTTAACGCCTGTGCTGAAGCATCACACTGATTATATAATTCGTTTTTGACATTTTTGGGGCAATTTCTCAACTCATTAAAAGTGAAGTTCCAAAACATCATAAAAAAGTCCTGATATTACAACAAGCCACTCCTTAAATGAAATAAGTGTGACATGGAGACAGTTGTCAGCATGGATAAAACACTCTGCTGTAAAGTGCTCTCGGTAGCCTTCTTGAAAGGATTATTCTGCTCCCAACAGTGCACTTACTAATTGTTTAGGCGGCTATATCAGGCTTCTACACCTCTGTAATTGGGTTAAAATAGCGATTTGTTGAAAGGTTGATGCGCTTCAAGGTTGTCTCCTATATGAGAAGGACATGTCCTTTCAGTTTCCTCCACACATGTGCCTTACATGAAGAAGAACACATCTGTTCATGTTTTTTACACATTAGCTTCAAGGCAAAATCAGACAGAATTTGTTTTAATGTTATCCTATACATTATATAACAAAAATGTAGGTTCCCTTTTTATTTTTGTTACATGTCAAATGTCAATCCATAATTACTAATTTTTTTTTTCATTTAACCTTTATTTAACCAGATAAAAAACATTGAGATACAATCTCTTTTACTATGCTGACCTGGCCAAGAAGGCAGCAACGTTACACGTTCTTACACATAGCACAGACATGTAAAATACAAAGAACACAACTAAGTAAACAAAAGACGAAAAGCAGTCACGACATTGTGCACATTAGGACAGTAAGAAAGGTACACTACTTATTACTGCAAGAGCAGCTGGTGGTAAGGACTTCAGACAACTTCAATTTAAAACAGGCTATGGACAAGTGCCATCAGTTTGAGGCGTGATTGAAGGTCATTCCAAGACCAAGGACCATAATAAAAAAAGACTCCTTTTTCCAGGCTCAGTCCGCACGGCAGGTACCTGGAACCGTATCCAGGCACTGGATCTGAGGTTGTAAGAGTCACAAACTGGAGCAAATCTGGCAAATATATACAGTGGAAGCTTACCTAAAATGGCTTTATACAATAATAAAAACCAATGCTGCATCCTACGCATATAAGTGAGGACCATCCAGTTAGGCTATACAGTGTGCAATGATGAGTCCATAGGGTGCATTTGATATATATCGCAGTGCAATGTCTACATTTTTGCAAGCTTTTAAAACTTCATTTAATGATTATATTACTGCAGGTAAACTCCATGCAAACTACAGAGATATTGTTACACCCACAGTGGTTAAACATTTTTTTTATATCCATAGACTGTCAAAATCCTCAAGGAACAGCTGTTGAAACCCATCACTTACAGTCACTCAGTTGTAATAATGTAAGAGTAAGCCTGAGTATATGGGTATTTAAACTGAACCTTCAGTGAGAGCCTTTATCTTACGCTATTTGTTACGTGAGATAGCCCTGATGTAATTGTATACTTTTTTTAAATTATTAACACTTGCTGGTAATAGAAGGAGATATGGAACAAGGACCGGCTTATTATTCAATGAGGAAGAAAATATTACAATTATATATTCACTGCAGCAAATCCAGTTTATATTAGTAATACCACATTTAAGATAGGTATTCCCCTTTTGCTTCAAACTGAAATGACAATTTTAGAAAGTAATTTGACCCATTGTTGCCGTCTCATTGACCTGATAACAACATACTAACTCAAACCACTGGCTTTTGTCTGAGATATATATTAAACAGGATGATTTTAATGGGGTTACTTCAGTCCAAGTAATGCGGTTGCAAATTTACAGCATGTGCCATTACAAAATCATTATAGACTGTGACAGATGTGTCTTAATTCGGAAGCACAGGAACTGTTAAGTGAAACAGAGCAGAAATCTCATTAGAGGGATGAACAGAACAAACTCACAAGGGTGTAACAAATGATGAATTGACCGTTATGGACTACGGATATCCCAGTGTCTCTGAGCTGCCCGTAGATTCAACTTTTATGGCATAGTGGGGTTAATGAAATCATTGTTTCCTACATGTCATCGTCATTAATGTTTTATTGTAGATGAGTGAACATTTCACTTGGCTTACAGGGAATTGCTTTTAACACGGAGGCAGAGTGGATCTTTCACATTTGCGTGTCACGCTTCAACCAGAGTGTTTATGTAATGATGACACCAGAAAAAACCCGGATGGGGTCTCACTTTTAATGACTGCTGTAAATTACATAGTACGCTTCAATGCATTGATGGGGCAAAACACGTAATAGAGGATGTTCCTTACGCAAATAACCTGCACACTCCTCCCTTTTTGGGCCTAGGTAACACTTTAAAAGCAGATGTCTCCCAGTGGCATCAGCAGTGGATGTTGAGGTGTCTTACCAAGAAGAAATCTCTCAACAAGACACACACATCCAGTGAGGATGGCGCAAATCTTGTGCATTTTGGCACTTCTGTGTTTTGTATCATGTGGTGCAGAAAATACGGAGATTCAGCAGCGACTTAAAGACCTCCAACTTCAGAAAGACTCACTACTATGGCTCAACAAATTAGAAGACAAACAGGTAAGATGCCTTTATTTTCTTTAATATTTCTATACAGTATGTTGTTAATGCTTATCACATCACAATATGCCATCCTTCCCTTATGTGGTGCAAACCAGGCTCCAAGTACCAGATACTGACTGCAGGCATCAGAATATCCTGCCTACAGCGTCTCAATTTATTACGTTTTTCTGTACTTGTGCGCACAACTTTTCATTCACCTTGATCTGTTAAAATTGTATTTGTATCCCCAGTGAGTCATTGTGTATGCTGTCAGAGCTACCTGCCAGATAAATGTCATTTGATTATCCTCAAAGCTGCAACTCCATGAAAATGCAGATTAGAGATCAAATACTAACACAAGTTTTATTTCCCTGTCTGGCTATGAGCAGCAAATTATAAAGTTTCATATTTAACAACATTTAAGAGCTTGTAAATGTTTGAAATCCTCTTATACTTACACTGTGTCATTATTTTTCTTTGAAGGAATCTCCAAAGGAACTGAATTTAATAGACTGGCTTTATAAACTTTTCAAAGTTGAAAATGGAGATATCCTCAAAGGACCCACAGACATCGAGAGACAGAAGAAGAATCGGCGTGGACTGGGCAAGACAACTCGCAGATTCGGATGCAGAAGTTTTTACTGGAAATCCTGGACTTCCTGCTAACTCTGTTTCACTGAAGTGCCAGAAACACTGTTAACTGGATATTTCAGTCTAGTCTCCTTTTAAGGCTAGGATATTGTTTTGTCTTGACCTAATTAATGTATTGCTTATTAAGCGTCCCATACAATCATTAAACTGCATTGCATTTTACGATTGAAAAAGTGGTTTGTGCTGTTCTTGCTCACATAAATGTTCTATGTTGATAGAGTATATCATTACTTTGTAGTTTTCAGAGAGCATCATTCCTTTTTGTATTACTATTTGGCTCAAATCAAACTGCCTGTGAAAATAAAATAAGTTGTAAACTGTTAAACGTAGCCACTAAAGACTATAGTTGTAAGAAACAATACAAAATAAATTTGCCATCATACTTTACACAAAAGTCTTATCATTCATTTTTTGGACCGTTCTCACTAATCTGTGTAGTGCTAAATCTCAACATGTTGGCTTTTTCTGGAGGGCAACATTTGTATTCGTTTAAAAGTACTTCAGTAAGTTAAACAATACTCTGCATTATTTACAATTCACCTGACAATCTGGAGGAAGTGTAAACAATGAAGCCACTGAATAATGAATGAGAGGTACATTAGCTTTTTTTGTGGAAAGAAAGCTGAAAACCCATACTGAAGTTAAAAGGGCTCTGCAGTGAGCTGAAAAACTCTGTGCACCTGTAGAAATGTGAGTTGTTGTTGACATGGTGCATCTGATATATTTCAAATCAATAATGATCACTTTCATGTATTTTTTGTTTCAATCAATCAATCAATGTTTATTTATATAGCCCAATATCACAAATGTTACATTTGTCTCAGTGGACTTCACAGTTTGTACAGAATATCAATATGACAATACAACACCCTCTGTCCTTGGACCCTCACAGAGGAGGCTGTTCTTCTCTTCGTAAAATCCAAATATACTTTAAATGTCATAAATGTCTGCAGTGTGTTTGATGTTTCCCCATGATCTTTATGCTAGACCAGCAAGGCAATAAAGCAAGTGCTTTACAGACATCCATTAATCTTATTTCTATTAGATATTCCTTCAATGGTTAAAGTAATGATTTAAGGAAATCCTTTAAGCGTATACAGTAGCTTTGGTGTGGAATCTGCAATGAGAAAAATATGTTGTGCATGCATTTGAGCGAGTTTGCATTTCTTATATTTCATTTGCATATTTCCGTATACATGCCTGTGTGTGCATTAAAGAT